AGAAGCAGGCTCCATGCAGAGAGCCTGATGTGGGACTCGATCCCAGGTCCCCAAGATCACACCCCAGGCTGCAGGCGGCGCCAAACCACTACGCCACCGGGGCTGCCCCCTTCATTCTTTTTTTAAAGATTTTATTTATTTCGAGAGAGTGAGAGAGAGCATGCAAATGAGCGGGGGAGGGACAAACAGAAAGGGAGAGAGAGAGAATCTCCATGGTGTGGAGCCTGATGGGTTGATCCCAGGACCCTGAGATCATGATCTCAGCTGAAATCAAGAGTCGGACGCTCAACCATCTGAGCCATCCAGGCACCCCCACTGTTTGTATCTTAATGATAAACTTGTGCAGAACTACATAGCACAGAAATTAGCTAAATCCACTTCTTCCTTGGGCCAGTCGTTTCCCATTGCTGTTTCATTCTGAGGAGGCTTTAACTCCCTCTCCAAACATATTCAAGCATCAATATCATAATTATCATATGGATTATTTACATAAGGTGGTTGAAGCATACTGATAATACCAGTACTATAGCATATCCTGGTGTGGTCATAGTACAATGGGGTTCCATTACAGAACAAACTGCAAGAGTTACATAGGTACTCCAGGGCCTTCTCTGGATTCAAGCCTTGCCCTTATACCGAATATTATTATGGACAGGCATCATTAGCCATGATCTTATTATTTATTATAGCAAATTATTATTTGTTATTTCTGGGTTCTGAGTCAGTTGGAGGCGAAGGTGGTCACCCTGTCTCAGTTTACAGGCTGGCACTGAGACTGGTCTCCATCATATGCTGTTACACGGCAGGGCAGGCCTCCTTCCTAGGGCAGGACACAGGTGGTATTCAGAATAGTTTCTATCCCTGCTAACTGTATGACAGGGCATGTCTTCTTCTGCTCTATTCCTGGAGCAAGGGCAGTCAGAGCGCATTGGGGTAAAGTACAAATGTCCAGAGAACTAGATTTGCAGGACTAGAAGATTCCCATAAGCATGGCTCTTGAGCCTCAGTAGCCAGTATAGAAGGCCATTGCCTCATGGCTACTCCGGCTTCAATCCACATTAACAGTCGGGAGGCTCTGTGGGGTGAGGGTGCAGGCCCCCTCCTGGTGCTGGATCCTGGCATTTTCCAGCGTTTTCTGTTGCCATGGCCTGACCTGTTTCACCAAAGCCTCATTGTCTATCCAGCCTGACTCCAGGTCTTTGCTTTCGTTTTGGACAGAACTTCTAATCTGCTTATTCTAGCTAATATTTTTGCCTCTGAATGCCTCTCCTCATTAAAAGTAAATTCAGTTTGTTCCATAATGGGGGACCTATCTCCCCTAAACCCTTTCCAAGCTTGGTGCAGAGCCTGACACAGGGCTGGATCTCACAACTGTGAGATCATGACCTGAGCCAAAATCAAGAGTCGGACACTTAACCAACTCAGCCACCCAGGTACGCCCCCCACCCCCAGATTTTTCATGTCTCACAGTCCAGTGTTGTTTAATCTACCATGTATGTTGTTGCCATTAGATACTAAGAGCCTGAGTGCAGCTTGGAGACACGTTTGGTACCAGAAATGGTGGGTCCCCCATATGAGGATGAAATGAGTGATAGTCATGCGTAGATGCAATTTATTTTGAGTATGCCGTAAGGCACTCCATGGCCTTCCTCATCTCAGGATGAGGCTTTTCCCCAGAGGGATTTGGATGTACTATATGATACCTACAAGATACCTATATGATACCTATATGATACCCACAAGAAATCCATGTTTCCCCTTCTGTTTAGTAGTATTCTATTCACAAAAACAAGGGTGATCTGCATTTGTGCATATAGCACATGGCACATGCTGCTATGTTTTGTCCATTAAAATCAGGGGATTTTATTTTTATTTTTATTTTTTTATTTTTATTATTTTTTAAGATTTTATTTATTTATTCACGATAGACATAGAGAAAGAAGCAGAGATACATGCCGGGAGCCTGACACGGGACTCAATTCCGGGACTCCAGGATCACACCCTGGGCCAAAGGCAGGCGCCAAACCACTGAGCCACCCAGGGATCCCCGGGAGATTTTTTTTGGTGTGGAGCCCAGCACAGGGCTTGAACTCATGACCCTAAGATCAAAACCGGAGCTGAAATCAAGAGTCAGATGCTTGGTCTACCTGGGTGGCTCAGTTGGCTAAGCATCTAACTCTTGATTTCAACTCAGGTCATGATCTCAGGGTCAGGAGATTGAGCCCTGCATCAGGCTCCACACACCACACAGAATCTCCTTGATATTCTTTCTCTCTCTCTCTCCACCCCTCCCTGTGCACACTCACTCTCTCCCTTTATCTCTGAATTAAAAAAAAAAAAAAGATGCTAGATGCTCAGCTGACTGAGCCACCCAGACACCCCCCATATAAGCAGCCTTTCTAAGTATTTGATTTTCAAAGTTTATAGTTACACAGCAATCTGCCAAGAGTTATAAACTACCCAGTGAGAGTAGTTCCAGGAAGTTCCTTCCCAAATGATACCTTTGTAGTAGGTGTAGTCTAAAAATTTGATGTCGAAAGACACTGGCCAGTCACTAGGGTCGCCTTTGGTCAACAGCGCAGTTCAGCATCATATCCTCAGCCGGAATGTCTCCCAGAGCCATGCCAGTCGTGTTCGCAGGCTTCCATTCAACGTCAGCAGGCTCCAAAGGCAGGGTGAGCATGGCAGGCACAGGGCATGCCCATGCATTTCAGGCATCCGCTATGATTGTGCTAAGGACCATGGTAACCTCTTGCTCTCCCCAGGCACCCGTGGCACGCTCAATTACCCATTTTCATTGAACACCCACTTATTCATCTCTTTGCCTTCAGCTGCATTTCCTCCTCTCCGTTTGGCATTGATTTTTCACTCCACCTTTCCCCCTTTGGAAGGGACGTCAGCTTCAGCCACCCACCCATCCAGATCTCCAGCAGCACAGCCAGCCTTGCGAGTGTCGCCCCTAGTCCTCGTGCGTCCATATAGGATAGAGTTATGCAGCCCGGAACAAGTGGCTGTTCCCCGCTCCCCCAGGCCGGTAGAGCTGAGTTCACTGTTAGCACAGGGCGGGCACAACCCACCCCATTAGGCCCTTGGGAATTCTGGCACAAGGATTTGAAAAGAGAACTACAGTCTTGCTTGGGGATCATTCATGCTTCTGGCACCGCAGTGGCAGTCGGGTCCTTGGAGGCTAAAGGTAAGTTGAGATGCAGTGGGAAGGAATTGTATAGTCCTGCCACCAGCCTCTCTTCCTGTCCCCCAGAAAAGTAGCCGAATCTATCCAGTAGATAGCCTCCTTTGGCCACCATCCCATGTTCAGTGTGAGCACCTACTTGTGACATTGTGTAATCTGCCCTTCAAGCTTTTCTCTCTCCCTGTTTCAGAGAACAGGTGTTTATTTTTTTAATTTTTTTAAAGATTTTTTTAAAGATTAATTTATTTATTCATGAGAGACACAGAGAGAAAGAGAGGCAGAGACACAGGTAGAGGGAGAAGCAGGCTCCACGCAGGAAGCCCGACATGGGACTCGATCCCAGGTCTCCAGAATCAGGCCCTGGGCTGAAGGCAGACTCCCCGCTGACTGGGGAGCCTGATGTGGGCTCGATCCCAGGACCCTGGGATCATGACCTGGCTGAAGGCAGATGCTTCACTGACTGAGCCGCCCAGGTCCCCCCCAGACAACAAATGTTTCAGTTGCCTGTTCTGGTTGTGTATCAAGCCAGCGCTCTGAGGGTGACACGCAGCACACTGTGTCCATTTGGTGTGATATCTCTTAGCTGGGGTGGGAACTACGGGCTGACCAGATCGGCACAGTATCTTCTGTTCCGATACAGTATTGTAAGCATCTTTGTCTACAATGAAGTAAGCAAAGCTACTTTAATGGGCCCCTTGAATTTCCAGAGTGATTTCCTGAGGCTCATGCCCCATGTGGGCATCTCCTTTCCCAGCCCAGGTTTTCCCTGCCCGAGAGTCAATAAAAACCCCAACACAGGGGTGCTTGCGGGGCTCAGTGGGTTAAGTGTTAAATTCTTGATCTTGGCTCAGGTCCTGATCTCAGGGTCATCGGTTCAAGCCCTCTGTTGGGCTCCATGCTGGGCATGGAATCTATTTAAAACAGAATCAACATAGGAGCTTTTTGCTTTCGATTTTCCATCGCTGCAAGGGAAAGAGCATGCAGTGTAGCCCCCTGAGCTGATTTGTTCTTGCAGAGATTCCCAGTTGCTCAGAGTGCAGTGGCCTTGCAGACGAGATACAGTCCGTCTGCCTCGCACTGCCATCAGTAGCAAAGCAGCTTTCTTTTGGTCACGGAGAGCTGCCACAGCGGCTCCTCGGGTGCTTCCCGCAGACCTGCAGAGGGTGGGGGGAAGAAGGCCACCTGCCCATGTGGTCCCCACATAGCACCGTCCCGTGTAAACCCTTACCATGTACTAAGGAACTCTTGGGGGAACTGCCTTCTTTACCAGAGTGTTTCTCTGACATCACCCAGGACACCATTCAGGATTATCTGCTGTTCTCCAGTCACAGAAGTGGTTTCCATAAACACCCAATAGCAGGCTAGTGATGGTCTCCACAGTGATTTGTATCATACACCGCATTCGAGAATTTTCTGGGCCAAGGGCTCAGCAATTGCCCCTGGGTGTAACTTACAGGATTTCGCCTTAAGCCCTCCGGTCATGTTCACAGGGGCCAGGCTGGCCGAGGCTGTACAGAGTTGGCCTCACCCCTCCTAACGTGTCACCAATTAAAGGGCTCTTGTCCTTTGTCCATTGGGTCTCCCACACAGTTTCCAGTTACCAACCAGTGTGGGCTCAGGCACTTGTTCAGGTCCTTTACTGCAGGGGGCGCTCCTCGTTTCTCTCCGCTGGGTAGGTCACCACCACCCACAAACCCCTCCCACACCTGGGCACACACATGCACGGGCACACTCACGCACGGACCCAGTCCGGGCCAGCAATGTGCCCAGGCTCCAGCCTTCCTACTCCCCTCCCCGGCACCGCCTGCAGCCAGATTTACTGCCACGGGGAGCTCCTGCACCAAGTTCAGATGGCCAAGCTCTACCAGGATGACAAGCAATTTGTGGACATGCCGCTGAACTCGGCTCCAGGTGAGGCACCCGGGGGGCACCCGACCTCCTGAACCTTCTACACCAAAGATGACAGAGGGCAAGAGCAGGCAGAGAGGGAGCCTCTCCATCAGGGAGGGGCTCCTGGGATCCAATTGATCTGTCCTTGCCCCCGTACCCCAGACCAGGTTCTGCAGCGCTTCCGCGAGCTGGCCGCCACCCACAACCAGAGCATCCCCCAGAGCAGCTGCGAGCCTTCATCCAGGAGCACTTCCAGGCCGGGGGGCAGGAGCTGCAGCCCTGGACTCCTGAGGACTGGAAAGACAGGTACCACCTAGACAGAAAAACAGGAGGGGGCCCTTCAGATAGGCCTGCCTCCCTCAACCCCATGGGGTCCGTGTTCTCCCAGCCCCCAGTTCCTACAGAAGATCTTGGACCCCAAGCTGCGAGCCTGGGGAGGGCAGCTACACGAGCTCTGGAAGAGACTGGGAAAGAAGGTATCAACATCCTGGGCCTTAGCCGGGGGATGGAGTAAGGAGGGACAGGGGGATGCCAGTTTGGGGCCCACGTTGTCCTTAGAGCACAGACTGGGACCCCACCATCGGGTCCTTGAATGGAGCTCTCTAGAAAGAATTTCTGGAGAGGGAGACATGAACATCTACTTCTAACTTCTCATTTCCTCCTGAAGCCCTCACTGTCCTCCACCCCAGGCAAACCTAGTCTGTCTGCCTCCTCCAGGTTGCCCAGCTAGGCTCACTCTTCCTGAGGAAATCAGGTCAGGCCCGTGCTCTGGAACAGTTGTCGTTGCTGAATGTGGCTTGTGGTCAGCACAGTCTGTTAGACGCTTCTCTCCTTTGAGGCTCAGGGACGGCAGTGGTTTGCCCAAGGCTGCACAGCATCTGTCCTCCCAGAGGATGGGGGCCCTGGGTCTCTGGGGCCTGGCTTGGCGGTGGCAGCAGAGATGGGGAAGGGCAGTGGAGGACATGGTCTCCCTACCTAGTCCTAATGATAGCCACTGCTTGGTGAGCACCTGCCAGTGCCAGGCTGAGTTAGCAGGGACCCCAAAGGCCAGCATGGGGGGCCGAGCAGACCAGGCTCCCAGGGACTCAGGCCTTGGCCAAAGCCACACGGCTGACCCGCCCCAGAGCCAGCACCCATGCCCCGGCTGCCTGGCTCCAGAGCCCAGAGCTGCCAGGGCCTCCACGGCCCGGCCTCCTCCAGCCTCGACACCGTGGGGGCCACGGGCGCCCTGTGCCCTCTCCCCTGACCACAGGTGAAGCCCGAGGTCCTCAGCCACCCGGAGCAGTTCTCTCTCATCTACGCAGCACACCCCTTCATCGTGCCTGGGGGGCGCTTCACCGAATTCTACTACTGGTGAGGGGCCAGGGCTGCAGGGGGAGCCCAGGGCAGGAGGCCGTCCTGAGCAGGGGGGGCACCCTGACTGGCCCCGGGGCTGCAGGGCGGGGGTGGCAGGGGGCGGCTGAGCTGTCCCTTTCCTCAGGGACTCCTACTGGGTGATGGAGGGGCTGCTCCTCTCCGAGATGCCCCAGACGGTGAAGGGCATGCTGCAGAACTTCCTGGAGCTGGTGCGAATGTAAGAGGAGGCGGGCACCCCAAGGCTGGGGGCAGAGGAGCCGGGGCCACGGGCGTGGCCCTGGGTGGGCCTTGGCCTCGGCCGCGGGGCAGAGGCACCCAGCAGGCCCCCTTGTTGGCAGCTATGGCCACGTCCCGAACGGGGCCCGCGTGTACTACCTGCAGCGGAGCCAGCCCCCGCTCCTGACCCTCATGATGGACCGCTACGTGAGCCACACCAACGACACGGCCTTCCTCCGGTGGGCGCCCCGTCCCCCCGCCGCCCCGCACACCCCCTACCCAGGACCTCCCAGGGCAGGCCTCAGGGCGCGGGCCTGGGCTGAGGTGGGGCCTGGCTCCTGTCCCAGGGACAGCATCGGGACCCTGGCCTTGGAATTGGACTTCTGGACGCAGAACAGGACCGTCTCTGTGAGCTCGGGGGGGAAGAGCTACGTCCTGAATCACTACGCCGTCCCTTATGGGGGACCCAGGTAAGGAGCTGCCTGCCAGCCTCTCAGGCTCCTGCTGTTCACCTGGTTTGAGGGCCAGGGACGGACCCCGGCTCTCAGAGGCTGATGCTGAAAGCCCTGGGCGATCCAGGACCCACGAAGGGCGATCCAAGGGCAGGTGAGGCAGCAGGGCTCAGTCTCCAGCTTGGGCTCAGAGCCTCCAAGCACTGGGACGCCCACTTTCCTCTTCCAGGCCAGAGTCCTACAGCAAAGATGCCGAGCTGGCAAACACGTTGCCGGAAGGTGAGCAGCAACAAGGGCAGGGATCGGGGTGGGGCTGGGGCCTGGTGTGGTGTGTCAGGCCCTGGGCCCCCTCCCCGGCTGCCTTGTCCTCACAGGGGACCGGGAGACCCTGTGGGCTGAGCTCAAGGCTGGAGCTGAGTCTGGCTGGGACTTCTCTTCACGGTGGCTCGTTGGAGGCCCAAACCCCAAATTGCTCAGCAGCACCCGGACCAGCAAATTCGTGCCTGTTGACCTCAATGCCTTCCTGTGCCAGGCAGAGGAGCTGATGAGCAACTTCTATTCCAGCCTGGGTGAGCGCACCAGCGGGAGGAGGGAGCAGGGGGTGCTCGTCCAGCTTGGGTCCTGCCTCAGCCTCAGCCCGTGGGGGAAGGGCCTCCAGCCTCCCAGCCTGCTCAGTACCTCACCCCTAGGGCAGGAGTACAAAGGAAGCCCACTCTCTCCTCTCCCTCCCTTTCTGACTGGGAGGGACTTCTTGGGTCTGAGAGGACGACACCTGAGTCCACACATTCAAACTCCCTCCATTCTCTCTCCCTAAACAATTGCCCTTGGACTTGTCAGAGCTGGGGGGATACACGTGGCCAGTGCCCTCCTAGGACTGACCTGGGAACTGGCCACAGCAGCAACTGGGAGCCCTATGGGGCCACGTGCTCAGGAAATTCTAAGTCCTAGAGGCCAGAAATGTGGGTTCCAAGTACACATGTCCCCTTGGTGTCAGGACTTCTAGCCCTTGGGGAGGACAACAGGAGGAGGCCACAGTAGACTTCTCTTGAAGGCATGGGACCCAAGCTCAGCCACCCTGGTTGGTTGCTCAGCCTAAAGACAGTGTCACCTCAGGGAACAGCGTCCAAGCCACAAAGTACAGAAATATGTGGCAACAGCGCTTGGCTGCCATGAAGGCCATCCTGTGGGATGAGGAGAAAGGTGCCTGGTTTGACTATGACCTTGAGAACAGAAAGAAGAACCTAGAGTTTTACCCATCCAACCTCACTCCTCTCTGGTCTGGCTGTTTCTCTGACCCAAACGTCGTGGACAAGGTTCTGAAATATCTGGAGGTGAGGGGGGCAGCAGGGCAGACTGGTACACTGCGGGCAGGACCACCTGCTCTCTCCCTGATTCTGAGCTAGTGACCTCCGGCAAGGGGAAGCCACCCCCTCCTGCTCCACCCCTCGGTCTGAGCCTGCGTGTCCCACTGGAGCCACCAGGGGGCAGCTGCGAGCCAAGAAAAAGCCCAAGAAGGGGGACACCTGGCTTTAGGGGGGCCCAGCCAGCCTCTTGGCTCATCTAGACCCCATCCAGTCATAAGAATGTCTGGAACCTTTCAGGACAGCCAGATCTTGACCTACCAGTACGGGATCCCGACCTCTCTCCAGAACACAGGCCAGCAGTGGGACTTCCCCAACGCCTGGGCCCCCCTGCAGGACCTGGTCATCAGAGGTAGGGAGGCAGGGATGGGGCATAGCCCAGGGCCTTACCCCTTGCACCTTGCTGACCCCTTGGGTCAGCCTCCTGGTGCTGGGGAGGTGTGAACAAAAGCCGTGGGGGCCTTTCTCTGGCTTTTCTGTTCTCTGGTTTCCCACCCGGCAGACATTTGTGTCCACCCTCACCTGTCAGGGGACCCAGCCCTCCTTCCTCCCTCTAAACTCAGGCTCTGGGTGAGGAACACATTGGCTTTTCACGGGGTTCACGGGGTTCACGAGGGAGGTCTTAGGGCCCGGGCCTCTTTCTCTCTCCTTGGAGAGAGGAAGGCTCAGGCCTCAGCTGCCCCTGGGATGCGGACTCAGGAGACTCAGGGTCCTGCCTGGGGTGGGGTCCAGGTCTGGCCAAGTCTCCCTCACCTCGGGCCCAGGAAGTGGCTTTCCAGCTGGCTCAGAACTGGGTCCGAACCAACTTTGAGGTCTACTCCAGAGACTCGGCCATGTATGAGAAGGTGAGCTGCTCCTGAGCCCAAACCCTGCTGGGGCTCCTCCCCCTGGGGAGCAGGGGTAGGGGAGTGGGGGGCGGGGATCGCCAGGCTTTGCAAAGCCCAGGGACAGTGGTGACGCCCGGTGGTCATTCTCAGGCACTGCAGGGGTGGGAGCTGCAGGCCAGAGCCCCTTCTCCCAAAGAGGCTCACATGTGTTGCTCCCCCTGGAGGGCTGGGATGGGGAGCCTGGGGGCCTTGCCGACCTTATAGCCTGTCCTCCTGTTCCCAGTATGACATCAGCAATGGTGGTCAGCCAGGTGGTGGAGGGGAGTACGAGGTTCAGGTGAGTGGCCCACACCCTACAGGGGACTTTGTCCCCACAGCAGGCCATGACCCCCTCCAACCCCCATCTGGGCCTCTGATTCCTCCCATTATGTGGGTCCACTGGGAGGCGGCCAACTGGAGCTCCTTTGTACCCCTGGGGCTAGGCAGTTCCAGGGCATGTGGGTGGGGATCTCACAGCCCCTGAAGGACCCCACTGGCTCTGTCTCTCCAGGAGGGCTTTGGCTGGACCAATGGAGTGGTCCTGATGCTCCTGGAGCGCTATGGTGACCGGCTGAGCTCGGGCAGCCAGACAGTTTTCCTGCAGCCCCACTGCCTCGTGGCTGCCCTTCTGCTCAGCCTCCTGCTCGGCCCCCTGCCACAGTGATGGGACTCCTTGTCCCGTGGGCCTCATTAAACTTCTGTGTGATTCCCTACCTTCTCCTGCCTCTTCATCCTCCATCTTCCACCCCCAGCCAGTCCTGGGGAGAGTCCCAGAAGTCATGGGTTAAGACACGTGTCCCTCCTGGAACATTAATAAGGAGGAAATCCTGTTCTGTGGGGACACAGCCCCATACCCCATGCAACCTGGCTTCCCAAACACGTACTCCAAATGCTTTATTGTTCAGTTGAGATGTTTACAAATACTGAAAGTCACCCAGCCTGGGGCCCAGCAGCCACGGCCCAGTGGTGGGCAGGGAGGTGGGCTTAGTGTTAAGGCGTGAAGGGCCAAGGCCAGGCAGCTGGTGGCCTGGTCCTCTGCTCTCCATTTCTGTCACCCTTCTGATGCTGAAGGGAGGGCAGCCACACCTCAGGATCCTCTCCCTCTGCTGCCTCCTCTCCTGCTCGGGTTCTCCCTGGAGTGTCTGAGCAGCCCTCCAACCCTGTTAGAAACCCAGCCTGTACAGAACCCGTGTAGCCGCCATTCCCATCAGCTCCCCTCCTCTTCCAGTCTCTGGATGTAGGAGCTTCGTCCCTTCTGGCTCTAAGCAAGGCACGAGTGGAAGGGAGAGGGCTGGGCTGGGGGGCCACAGGCTGTGCATCGGGGTCTGGAGACACAGGTGGAGGGCGAAGAGGGGGTGTCTGGTCCCTTCCCCCGCTCCCAGCGTGAGATGCACAAGGTCCTGGGCTGGAGAGATGGCAGGACATACCCTCAGGTGGGCCCACAGTAGAAGCATGGGCGGAGCCACAGAGCCCAGGCAATGAGTATGTAACCATGGCGGTGAAGCAGTCACTATGGAGATCAGAGTTTGGGGTCTGCAAAAAGGGGGTGGGGCTGGGACCTCAAGGATGACACCTGAGGTCTCTGGCCCTTGGACAAAGTAATAAAATGCAGGAGAGCAGGGTGGAGCAGGGTTTGACAAGTGCACCGCCTGAGCTGGTTCCCCACTCTGGATGTGGCTCTCCTCAGCCCCCGAGGCCCCTGCAAAGGGGGGCTGAGGCAGGAGGGGATCTTTGGCAGATTCTGGTACCATAATTTGTCCTTTGCAAAAGAGAACACAGGCTGGGGAGTGCAGGGCCCGGTCAGAGCTCGAGGCCCCCTCTGCACCGGCTCCTCAGCCCGGGCAGGCCTGGGCTAGGACCCCGAAGGGTTATTGCAAATTCTGAGTTCCCAGGAGCCTCCCCACTTTTTATCCATTGGCCGGTACATTAGGGGCCCGAGCTCCTTACAGAAGAGCACGCAGTCTGGTACAGGAGCCCCGGCAGCGCTCCGCCCTCCTAGGGCCCGGGGAGCGCTCCCACGTGGCCTAGGGCCCAGGGTGCAGCTGTCTCTGGGGGCAGCAGGTGGGCTGGCCCCAGGGTCCGGGAGGCCCGCCGACCACAGTCAGTTCATGAACTGAGTGTAGCCCTCCGCTCCCGTGACGATGACGTCCATCCAGATGCGCATGGCCTCTGCAGACGGGGCCACCATGTAATACAGCCGGTCGTGGGTCTTCACACAGAAGGTGAGGGCTGGGTTCGGGCTCTGCCCAGGGCGAGAGGAAGGGCTGAGACGGGGCTCACCTCTGACGCTCCATCTGCCCTTTCCCTCCCCGTCTCCAGGGTGCCCCGGCGCTCGGTGCTCGAGCCTGAGTCCCAGACAGGCCTCAAACCTGGTCCCCACCAGGGGGCCCCAGGCGGAGTGTTCCCCTCCTCACACCCAAGGCATCCTGGGACCTTGTCAGGGCCATACCCCGCCCCGGGGGGCCCTGTCGTGGGGCACCCCACCCTCCACCCCAGGCAAAAGATTATCAGAGAATGAGACACAAAGGGTTATTGCAGTGAGAACCAGAGCGTCCTCCGGTCACCAGAGGGGCAGATGGAGAAAGCTGCCAGTGGGATGCTGGGCCCAGGTCCCCAGAGGAGCAGAGGTCAGGGCTGCGGCGGCAGAGGCTTGGGGAGAGGCTGATTTCAGGAGGGCAGAGGGCCCGGGCCTCAAACATGTCCACTTTATCGGTCCCCTCTGCCCAAGCCCATCCCTGGAATCCCTTCCCCCACTCTTTGCCGTCCCTCTGCGCCGCCTGCCTCCCCACAGGGGCTCCCAGCAGCCCCCGCTGCTCCTCCCTCAGGCCCAGGGAAGGAGGCTGGGTCAGGGGAGAGTAGAGGGTCAGGGACCAGGAGAGGACAGGAGGCATGAATGTACAGTAGTTCTGGTTACAGGTAGGTTGGGGGAGGGTACCTCAGTCACCACAGAAAAGCTGAAAAACCTCTTCTGGGAAGGGGAGAGGGAGAGAGGAAGAGAGAGTTTACAAAGAGGCCAAGGAATGGGTCCAGGACTCGAGAAGACAGGCTGGAGGCTGTTGTTCCCAGAAGCCCGCTGGGTGCGCCCCCCTTCCCCCCTCAGCCCACCTCACCTTGGCTGCACTGCGCAGGTGATCGTAGTACACTTCCTCGATGGCCTGGAAGTAGATGACCCCCTTCAGCTTCGTCTCGTGCTTGTCTGCAGAGAAAACAGGGCCGGGCTGAGGAGGCCTGCCCTCCCGCCACTGCAGGAGCCTCCCCGTCTGGGAAATGGGGTGATTCCCAGGCTCCAAACAGGGCCCAATGTGGAGCCCTGAAGACAGGGTCAGTGCCCAGCCTTGCCCAGAGTCAGAGAAGGCGAATTAGAACTTCACTCCGGGGGATCCCTGGGTGGCGCAGCGGTTTGGCGCCTGCCTTTGGCCCAGGGCGCGATCCTGGAGACCCGGGATCGAGTCCCACATCGGGCTCCCTGCAAGGAGCCTGCTTCTCCCTCTGCTTGTGTCTCTGCCTCTCTCTCTTTCTCTCTATCATAAATAAATAAAATTAAAAAAAAAAAAAAAAGAACTTCACTCCGATACCACTTCTCACCGACCAAACAGCACACCCAAGGCATCCTGGGCAAGTCTGGGGAGAGGTGATCTAACAGGGCACAGGCGGCGTGTATACTGGTGAACCCTGAGGGCGGATGTGGCCGCGTCCACCCGAACGAGAAAGGCATTTGCCCTTGGAGCCAATGATTACACTTATGACCAACGTTTACCTCAGACATAACAAATTTACGTGGTTCTTCACCACAACAGTATTTATAGTCTGGAAACAAACCATGCGTCCATCAAGTAGAGCCTGGTTAATAAATTAGAGTTTAGCCCATGATGCGATACTACACCTCTGTTAAACGATACAGAAATATCTCACGGGGTGGGGTGAGAAAGAAAAGAAACCTACACAGATTCAGAAATACACCTTCCAAATGAATCAGATATATTTCCTATAGAAAGACCTGACCTATTAGCTGTACAACAAGGAGTGTCTCATATGCCATTTTTTTTGTGTAAGTAAAGGGGTGAGTAAAGGGGTCTGCATTTCTTTATGTTCTAAAGAAACTACAAGGATACACAAGAGATTAATAAAAACGGTTATCTGTTGTGAGGAGGGGCATAATCCTCAATTTAAACCCTTTCACGTGTTTTGATTTTTGAACCGTACGAGTGCATGTACCTATTCAAGTCTAAGAGTGAAAAACAGAAGGCAGAATGTAGCATCTGGAGGCCGAGAGGACAGGAAGGAGCGGGCCAACGGCTGAGGTGACTGTGCCAGGGGGGAGCGACAGGGCGCTGCCAAGGGGAAGCGCGGGGCCCGGGCCATCCCGTCGCGTGGCAGACCCTGCCCAAACCCACAGGCAAAAGGCCACAGAGTCACTAGGCTCAGGTGGTGATGGTGGACAGCCTGCCCCTTGCGGCGCACCCTCCCCCCGCGCCTGTCATTGTAGGCCTGGGTCCCGACCAGGAGCTCTGCTGCAGCCTCCTCCAGTGCCCGCCCCCCTGCCCCTTCGACTCCTCTTCCCTAAGGACCAGGGACTGAGTGAATCGAACCCTGCTGCCTCAGCCTGCCAGCCTCGCTGCTGTTTCCTTCACGGGGACCCTGCCACCATCTTGGCTTGGCAAAGGCTATTGAGGGGCCGCTGCCACCCCGTCCCTCCAGGCTGGTCTCACATCCTTCCCCTGCACCAACTCAGTTCTATCTGGCCAGGTGGAGCTTCTCACAGGTGCTTAACCCTACACCCTGTCTACACTGGAGTGGTCTCCAGCCCATTCCCTTGGCAAACTCCTAGGTGGGCTTCAAGACCCACTAGGAATGTCAACACTGTGGTGCCCGCTGGCGCTCTCTTACGCTCCCACAACACGGATGTTCCTCTACTGCACTTACCCTGCTGAATCTGAACCCTCCTTTACACGTGTCCTAGGTCTCCCTCCTCCAACAACTATGTGCCTAGCACACAGTAGGGGCACAGTGTTGAATAAATGAGTCCTAGGCCCTGGAATCACCAGCAATCTGAGCTCCTTCCCATAGGAACCTACCATCTAGCGGGGAAGAAAGTGCAGACATATGGGTATTTATTAGCTCTGCGACCGTGGGCATGGCTGGGAACATGACAAGAGCATCTAGACGTCACAGGTGGCCAAGGGTGTTAGGTGGGAGCACACAAAGTGTCCAGCATGGCATCTGGCACCTTATGTGGCCTCTGTTACATCATATGCCCTTGGGCTGATGTCACACGGCAGACAGCCCCTGTGTAACACTGTGTAACACAAGGGTTATATATAGCAGCAGGCAGGACTCATTCCCAGTAAGGTGGGGCCAGGGCAGGAGTCACAGAGGTCATATCTGATCTGGACCCTGCAGAATAGAGGAGCTCCACCAAGTCAGTGGGAGGAGGTTCCAGGATCGGGAGATGGCAAGTTCAAGGCAAGAGCGGGCACGTCACACCCAGGACCCAGATCAGGCCCCAGGCCCATCTTCCTCTGACTCTTCCCTCTTGGGACAAGGACACAGCCCCACCCTGGCCCCTAGGCCTGGCCATCCCTCCAGTGGTGGTCTGTTCCCACCTCTTCCTTCACTGGCAACAGTATCGGCTCCAGCTCCACTTCCTTACCACCCACCTCGCCTCATCTTGTGCAATCAGGCTCCTGCCCAGCTCCAATCCCTGAATGGAAGGGCTTTTGGGTCCACATTATTTTCGGCCTTTCTGCAGTGGCCCTCATCACTGGCGACACTCCATGTCTCCAAATGTCTGCTCCTTTGGCTGGCTTCCCTCCCCGCTTCTGCCCCTCATCTGAATGGGATCTTCCTTCATTTCACAGACATTAAGGAAGGTCAGGAAAGCCAAGCGCCAGCCCAGCCCCTGGCCTGTGGCCTCGGGCCTCCCGCCCCCTCCCCCTCTGCCAGACCTTCCCCTTCCTCCTTCCCCTGGGTACAGCCCTTTGCCTCTTCTCTGCTCTGAGGTCCAACCGCCCAGGTTCAGTTTTAGCTCTGCCGCTTGGCAGCTGTGGGTCCTTCGGGAATTTACTTAACCTCTCTGAACCTCTGACCTCTGTTCCTAGTCCATAAAATGGGTATCAAACAGTGCTTCCCGCACAAGATGATGATGAAAGGTAAACGGGATGATGCATTTGCGGTGCTTAGCACAGCACTGGGTCCATGCAGTGCTAAGTATGATCGGCTATTGCTAGGACTCCAGCACACTCAACTTAAACCCTGACATTTCTCCTAAACTCAGATGTCTCAGAGGTACTTCAACCTCAACATGCCTAAAATGGAGCTCCTCTCCCTAGGCCTGTTTCTCTCAAATCCCCACAAAGTCCCAGCCCAGCCCAGGTGGAAACGTGGGGACACATGCACCTCTGCCTCTCCTGCCTCCCCTTCCCAGGGCCCAGGCAATCAGGGAAGGCTTCTTGGAGGAGGTGGCACTTGGTTAGGGACCAGAAGTTAGAAGAGACGCAGGTACTCCGGGCCTGGGTGTCGCTGGCACCAGACACTCAAGCCCTCTCCTTCCAGCCTCTGAACAGGATTGCTCTTCGTGGCTTTACAGTTGGGTGGGGCTGGGTGACTGGCTGAGAAGAGACAGGGCATTTAATGCTAATGTGAGGTGCAATTAGGCTTCTCTTTACACTCTGCCACTGTGGCCAGCCATACTCTAAAAATGCATGCTCTCAACAGGAACACTGATACGGAGGGGAGCAGAGCCCCCCTGCCCAACCCACAATGTACAAGGACGTGTATCAGGTAAGAAAGGAAACTGTGGTTTCGAGGCACGAGGATCTCAGGACTGCTTGTTCCCCCACTCACCCCAGCCTCTCCCAACTTGCGTGCCACACAGCCTCCTACATCTCAAGTGGGAACCATCCACGGGGAACTCCAGGATGGAGGGAGCAGAGGGAGCGGGCCACGCCAGTGGGCCTGTCCCCAGGGCTATCCTGAGCGCTCCCTGGCACACTCAGCTGCTTGTCTTAGAGTCTCTGAGGGAACTTGCCCATGGTGGCATCCACAGGACTCCACATGCCCACAGAGCCTGGGTGTCCCCTACAGCATGACCCATGGTGCATTGCTTTCACAATTTTCTTCACAATCTGCCTCCCTGACAATAGGCTCCAAGGGACAGAGCTGTAGCCACCCTGCTCCTCACCAAGGCCTAGAACAGTGCCCAGAACTTACTCTGTGCTCAGAAATACTGCCAAATACGTGAATGAACAAAAAACGAAGGCGGACCAAGTACACTCTGTACACTGTCAGGAGGGGAGGACAAGACCCAGCTCAAGCCCTGCCCCCCCCCACTAGTAAGCTTGGCCTCCTTCCAGAAGACCGGCTATCCTGGGTGACAGCCCAAGGGTTATGGGAACTCACCCACATAATAGGAAAGGGTGCGCTTGAGCCGGTCGAAGACAAACCAGCGCTTCTTCCATGATTTAATCTTGCCGCCCATCTTGACCAAGTAGCCGCGGCAGACCTGGTGAGAAGCAGGAGTGAGGAAGGACCCAATGTGCAGCCCCCAACCTCTATTCCCAGAGCAGCATAAAAGCTGTCACCTGTGCCTGTATTGTGGGGGCCTGTGCCCCACACCTCTTCAGGCCTGGACACCACGTCCTGGGACAGAGACCTCTGGTTTAGGCAGGAACTGGGGCCACTATTCCGAGGGCCTAGGAGTTGCCCAGACTATGGGGTCCTCTCCCCAGCGCCACACACCGGCCCCGTACCTTGCTGCTAAGCACCACGTGCAGGCAGGTATCAACACCGTGGCCCGACGACTCGATGTGGGTCTTCAGGTCAAAGTCCTCCTTCCGGATTGGCAGGTAGCGGGTCAGGGGTCGTGCCTGGGAGCAGAGGGCAGGGTCCGCAGTCGCCTCTCTTTCCCCATCATTTCCCTGACCAGGTCTGTTGGCTTCAGTGTGGAACCCCCACTGCTGCATCACTCTCTCCCACCCCCAGGGCTGTCACTCTGGTTTCACAGGGTTTGTGGAAAAGCAGAGACCGGGCAGCCCTGGTGGCTCGGCAGTTTAGCACCGCCTGCAGCCCGGGGTGTGATCCTGGAGACCCAGAATCGAGTCCCACGTCAGGCTCCCTGCATGGGGCCTGCTTCTCCCTCTGCCTGTGTCTCGGCCTCTCTCTCTCTCTCTCTCTCTCTCTCATAAATGAATAATCTTTAAAAAAAATAAAATAGAAAAGAAAAGCAGAGACTAGTGGGCCTGCAATGCAACCTTGGCCCAGGCAAACTGCTGAGTGGCATCATGACTCAGTTTCCCCACCTAGGACCAAGACACAGCCATCCCTGTCTTATCTCTGCCCCTCGGCTCTTTCCTGGGCTGAACAGAATAAAGCAAGAGGCCAGATGTGAGCACACTTTGGAAAGCAAAGCCCAATCAGCAATCCAGCCTCTGACTTCCCATGTCACATGGCCTCTCTGGGCCTTGCTTTCTTTATATGTAAAACAAGGGCTTTGAACTAGATAATCACAAAAGCCTGTTCCATCTCAAAAATTCTGATGCTAACTAGAACTCTCAGCTGAAAAAAAAAAAAAAAGAACTCTCAGCTGACTAGATGTTTTTTCTACTCTTCCTTTCCTGGAAGAATGCTAGAATTGCAAGAAAAGAAAACATCATAAATTATTTAGAGAAAAAAACAAAATGCACAGCTTTCAGGAGGTGCCCTGAGGATGGGCTGGCTCGCCCACACCCACAGCGGACACCAGTGGCCCCTCAGTGATGCCTGAGCCCCTGGACAGGGGGCTGGGGGACAGAGGAGCACAGGGGCCACTGACTGGGCAGCAAAGGACCTAAACTGAAGTTTCTGATTATTTTTTTCATGTTTATTTTTTTGAGAGAGAGAGAAAGTGTGCTTGAGCGGGCAGAGGGAGAGGAGAAGCCCAAGCAGGCTCCGCGCTCAGCACAGAGCCTGATGTGGGGCTCAATCTCACGGCCTCAAGATCATGACCTGAGCTGAAATCAAGAGTCAGACGCTTAGCTGACTGAGGTACCCAGGCCCCCCCTGGTTATTTCTTAATCCCCAAACCCAATTCAGGTGGCCGACCCCTTAGAATTCATGTTGCATCATAAGATATCAGGGAGCTGTGGTCACCAGTCCCGCTGAGGAAGATCCTAAAGGACCCCCTCCCTGGGAGGGGGCGGGGAGTCTAGAAGATCCAGTAGGAAGGGACAGCCTGTCTGAGTCCCCTAGGCTCTCAGAGTTGGGGGGTGGCCAGGATCTGAGACCAGAGACACAGGTAGAGCTCCTTATACAACCTAACTTCAACTTGCACCTTCAACTGTCCTGCTCCAATCTTCTGCGTCAGGAAAAAGCTCAGGATTCCTGTCTCAGAACTAGTACAGTTCTCTCTTGGAGATGCCAACCATCAGTCAGAGCGACACCACCTGCTGGTGGGGGGACTGGAGCTGCAAGTCTGGTGGATTGAGGGCCACCAGGAAGGCCCCAACACACACACACACACACACACACACACACACACACACACACACACACACAGGTCTCCGTTCCTGGGGCTGAATGAGTCCCAAGCAGTCTTTTCTGGAGGAGAACAGGCTTTACAGCCCCGCAGGGCTACCCCGGGGTACCCCTAGCCCTCCACGGTCCCACCCTCAAGCACACCCCTAGCACCCGCTTACCTGGGAAAACTGTTTCTCTCGCATCTTGACCTCCTTCTCCACCAGCTGCTGCCTCCTGGCACTCTCGCTCTGTAGCCTCCGTTCCACCTGTTCTCGCCTCCTCCGTTCCTCCTCCAGGGCCTGTCGCCGGAGCTCCATCTCCCGCTCCTGCCCCCAAAGCAAGGGGTCAGCGCCCACAGCTGCCTTCCTCCTTCCCCTTCCCCAGGGCTGGGGCGGGGCTGCAGGACACACCCATTTCAGAGGGCAGCCTGGCCAGCCGGAGGGAGCATCACCCTCAAAACCCACGCTCTGCAAGCACCCTCCCGGTAAGGTTAAATGCTTTGGAGTGATGCCATGCGGGCTTCGGATCCGGGCTCTGCGGCCAGGATGAGGTGTGTGAGCCTGACAAAATCATTTAAACCCCCTGGGCCTCTGCTGTCTCATCTGCAAAATGGGGCCAAGAGTGCCTCCCTACAGGGATTATAGAGAAAATAACATGAGGTCGTGTATGCAAATGCCCATCACTGATTCCAGCAGCGAAAAATACACGGGCTCCTACGCTTTTTACCTGAATGCCTAGACACGGATCACCTAAGTGACTTTTCCTGATACTGAACATATTCAGTAGCTGTTCCCTAATCACTGGGGCCCTTTGAAACCAAGTTACAAACATTCGTAGTCAAACTTCAAATTTTAGGGGTTAGAACTTACAGAAGCCCTTCTTAAAAAACTTTAAAAGTTAAAAAAAAAACAAACACTTTAAAAGTCATTAGAACAAATCACCAAACACAAAGCACGTCAGTGATGTTTTGTGTCCTCATCAGCAGTAACCTACACCGTCAGCTCCGGTTTGCCATTTCTTCTCAGCTCAAAACTTAGCCGAATCTCCTTTCTCTCTGTTTGCCAAGAGCTGCTTGTGCATTTGCCCTCCTTTGATGGCGGTACGTACAACTGAGAGGCCTTCTTCTCTGGGTGGCCTGGCCACTGCCTCCTGCTCCCCAGGTCTCTCCCTCATCTCCAGAGATGCAAAGCGCCAGAGGGTGGAGACAGAACAGGCCCTGCAGACCCCCCACTCCTCATCCTCTTCCCCAGGCCTATGCTCCTCAGCCTGGCGGTGCCCAGATCCCCCACTGGTCCCCACTGTGGGCCCGTGGGCAGGAGGCAGGGCCTCCCTCAACCCTTCATCCTCCCTGCATCCTCTCCACCAACATCTCTGCACCGGCCTAGACACCTGCCTGCTCTTCTAGCCCTACACCTCGAGCCCTCCATTCCCACTTTTCCTTACCACCCCCAAGAGAAATGACTGGCCACTCGGGTGGACAAGAATCAGAATTCCTGTGGCAGCCAAAACACCCGCAGAGGCAAACCTAAGAAGGCTGGGAGTCGTCATATGGGGGATTCGTCGTGGACAGCGATTGCAGTGCTGCCTCTCTTCCTAAGAGCCATGAGACCTGCCATATCAGCAAGCCTCCTCCGCTTGAGAACGCAAACTTTAGAACACTTTCTTCCGGGGCGCCTGGGTGGTTCAGTGGTTGAGCATCTGCCTTTGGCTCAGGTCCTGGGATCGAGTCCCACAATGGGCTCCCTGCAGGGACCCTGCTTCTCCCTCTGCCTGTGTCTCTGCCTCTCTGTCTCTCATGAATACATAAATAAAATCTTTAAATAAATAAATAAAACACTTTCTTCCTCCAGGGAAGGTCTCGAGGAGACTAGGGGTGGGACCCAGGCCCCCGGGCAGCCCAGGCCTGCCTCACCCTGGACTCCATGAGCCGGCTCTTCTCGGCGTGTGCCTCTTTCAGCATCTTCTCCATCTCCTCGATTTTGCCCACATCCAGGCCACTCGCACTGGGGGAGGGGAAGAGTGGTGGCATCAAGGGGCAGGGAGGCGGCTGGCAGAGGGCGAGCAGGACCCCCGCGGGGGCGGGTACCTGGACATGTTGTCGGGCGAGCAGGCCGAGTTGCCGCCCGTGGAGATGCTGGTCTCCATGCTGTCGGAGCTCTCCAGGCTCAGGGTGTCGTAGGCGTGCTCGCCCTCCTCCCCGCGCTCCCGGCCAGCCGGCAAGTGGTGCAGGATGGAGTGGTGCATGAGCGGGGGGAAGCCCGAGGGGCCCGGGGGGAAGGCGGCCGCCCCGTGCAGGGCGTCCCACTGGCACTGCGCCTCGGCCGCAGCCTTCTGCTTCAGCTCGGCCAAGCGCCGCCGCTGCTCCTCGATCACCTGCTGTCCTGCAGGAGGGATGGGGTAGGGGATCACAGCAGGCCCTCTGGGAGACACTGGCAGCATCACAGAGGGAAAATGTGAGCAGGGAAAGGTCGGCGCAGGGCCCACCCTTCAGCACGCCCCCCAGCTTCCCTAAAGCCCCCCCACCCAGCTCCAGGTCCGGCTGCCCCACCAGCGTTTCGGTCCCCTGCACAACTGGCCACAGCCACGTAGTCTGGCTTCCAGGCTCCTTCTGCATCCTGAGCCCCATGGGGCACTGACCCTGCCAGGGCAGTGCCTCCGGCTCACAACCAGGCTCACAACCATCGCCTGAATAGCAGGGCAGGATGCATGCACCAACCTGCCTGCTGGGGGAGCGGGGAAGGGAAGAGGGGGCAAGGTCTGTGAGCAGGGTGTCCATGCAGCCCCAGCTGTGATGCAGAAGCAAAAGCAACACCAGCAGAAAAGAAGGGGAGACAAGGCGAAGCACAGCTGAGGCAGGAGCCGGCTAGGCTCGAGGGGCAAGGCCAGGCGGACACCCCATCCCTGCTCAGCCGGGGAGCCTGCCAGGGAGGTGCGAAGATCTGAGCAGGATACATCATGCGGACGCCCAGGCGGGGCTGCCTGACCAAAGCAATGCCCCCAGTGACTAACGCTCTACCTGCTGGGTCGTCTGCTGGGGGGGGCTCTGCAGGAAGCGACTCGCCTGGTGTGGGGGCCCCGGGCAGAGGGTAGGGTGGAGAGACACAGAGGGGATGAGACGAGAGAGAGGCACAGACACGGGCTTTCAAAACAACCAAAATGCACACAGGCAACAAGGACTCAGGGAACCACTTCAGGAGGCCGTCGGGAGCATCCCCTGCCTCCAGACAGGGAGGGCAAGGTCCATCCCAACTCAGGCCAATAGGCATCTCCCTTCTTTGCTGGGCTCTCTGGGGAAGATGGCACGCCCCCAACCCTTAGTCTCTTGATAAATATCCAGGAAGCTCTTCTTCAGATATTGAATCTAAATGCTTTCTGCTCTTGCCTAGAACTCAATTAAAGCAAAAACACCCTGCAAAAGGTGTGGCATCGGGGGTGGAGGTGGTGATGGCAGATATCCAGGGCCCCCCCGGGAGAGCAGGCGGGCTGGCATGGCAGCCACTCACCCTTCTGCTGCAGGGCCAGCTGGCGCTTGGTCTCAATGTCCTGCAGCGTGGCCGCCAGGTTGCGAGGAAGGCTGCCTGTACCGTTCTGGGCAAGTAGGGCACTCTGGTGGGGAGGGGGGTAATGGAGCACTTGGACCTAGGGCTTGGAAGACACCCTCCCTTCCCGTCCCAAGGCTTTCCTGGGCAGCTTTGACCTCTACCCAGTGTCACAGCCTCCAACGCCCTACCACCGCCATGCCACATGCACAGCCCACCCACTGTCCTCAGACCTTTGGGGAGGGGCTCCGGCCCAGAGTAGCCACGCTGAGCTGCGAAGAAGAGGAAGAAGAGCCAGAGGAGGAGGGGAGGGGGCCACTGCGGGTCCGGGGCAGGGGGCTGGTGGCCTCACCATCCATCTTGGAGCGGTAAACCTGGAGGGAAGAGACCCCACCTGTTGAGCTGCGGCTCCCCCACTAGCCGCCACCCCCCATGTCACCTAGGCTGGCTGTGATCCAGGTACTGCCCAGGCACCAGGACCTCCAGGACCATTTCTAGCAGACAACAGCATTCAGCTTCTCAGGCCAGCCCAACAGATGGGTGTTATTGGCAGTTGCTAAGCCTCTTTCCCAGGCAATTCTTCTCCGGGTCCCACCCAAGGTCTCAGAAAAGGTCATGCAAATCGACATTCACATCAGTGGGGCAGAGTCATGTGGGAGACCAACTGAAGGCCAACTGAAGGGTTCCTTCTGGTCCCACCTCGGCCACTACCAGGCTGTGTGACCCTGGGCTGTGTACCTCCCAGCTCTGGGCCCTGGTTTCCTTATCTGCAAAAGGACGGAGCAGGGTTAGACAAAGTAACTGTCAAGCTCCCTCACAGCTCTTCTGTTTGCTGCATATGGGGTCTGGAGTCAAGAACCCCGGCTCTTGGCACAGGCTCTGGTACTTCCTAGTCATGCGGCCTTGGGGACATGACTTATCTTCTCGGGGCCCCAGTGTTTACTCTGTAAAATCAGAGTTAACTGTGCTGATGATGACATGAATCAAGGTATGTAAAAATTTCTAACCAGTTGGACCCAAAGTAAAGGTGCCTCATGTGCCGGAGGAATCAAACTCTTCCCAAAGGCAGCAGGGAATTTGAGCTGAGACGACAAACTTAGAGGTGCAGTGCCTGCACGCCCGAAGGGAATCTTGAACACTGGGGTTCTGGGCACACCCACAGGCCAGTGGAATGTGCCCTGACACCTGTCCCCACATCATGTCCGCAGCTTGCTACAGGGTCAGGTAAGCCTGTACCCTCCACAGAAACACCAGGGAGGCCTGGATGTGTCCTCAGGGCTGTTACTTCACCCCTGGGTAGACCTGGAGAGCAAAATGCTGGCAGTTCTCCTTGGACACACTAGTTCTGGTTGTAACAGGCCCAAAAATGTGTCAGGCCCCCCAAACTGAGTAAGAAACTATGAGGTTGAGGGCTGCCAGGGACAGAGCAGAGCTACAGTCCACTGGAGCACGAGGCACCAAACCCATCCCAACCTGACTGCTCTTCCTGAATCCTCTTCCACCAGACAGGCAAGCCTGGCTGTCACCCTTAGACTCGGGGGGGTGGGGGACCCTAGCTGCTCAATGTGCTAGGATGGCTGCCCATGAGGGAATCTCGGAGGCCAGAGGCCCCCCTGCTGCCCGGACTCAACTGACCCCCACCATCTCCAGTGGTGCTGTGAGGCTGCTGGACGGACAGGAGGTGCCCAGGGCAGAGAGGAGCAGGGCTCAGGGAGGGATGGGCAGTGAGATAGGGGGTTACCTGCAGCTGCCGAGAAGCTTTGGCGGGCAGAGGCGGGGGGGAGGAGCGCGGGGAGGCTGCAGCGGGGCCGGTCCCCAGCCCGGCCATCAGCTCCTGGTACCACTGCTCTAAGTCTACAGCAGGGAGCAGCAGCTCCTCCATCTGGAGTGAAGTGTGGGGAGGGGGCATGGGGAACAGGTGAGGAGGGGAAGGGAGGGGAAGGGTAGAGGATGAGTAAAGGAAGGCCACGATTGGTACCAGGAAGGTAAGGGAGGAAGGGAAGAAGGACAGCATAAAGAGAAGGAGGAGAAAAACAGTGAAAGAACAGTTGCTGTGAACACACCAAGGGCAAAGAGGAACAGTCAGGACACCACTCCCAGACCAGAGACTCGTGCTGTGCCAACCACGATGCCAACCAGCCAGCGCCCACAGGCACTGAGCACTCCCCGGGGCTGGCCTGGAGCTCAGACACTGGGAAGCAGCAGTGGCACACGCACGCACACACACACACACAGAGCCACGCCAGCAGCGGGCTGAGGGTGGCACAATACAGAGACCACCAACCTTGGGTGAAGGCGTGAGAGAAGCGGAGGAGGAGGAAGAGGGCAGCACGGGAGGAAGGCAGGTGGTGGGAACCAGGTCCCGGGAGGCAGAGGCCCAGAAAGGCAGGCCCGGCGCGGGGGCTGTGGGCACGGGTGAGGTGCCCCACATCACCTTTAGCTGCTCAAGCGTCACGTACTTGGGGGGAGGCCAGAATGCAGGAGGGAATACAAGAGGTTAATGGAACTGCAAACCAGGAGATGGCCCTGCCCATGGACAAGGGAAAGGTAATCATCACAGGAAGCACACAGCAGCAGAGGCTTGCAGAGCCCGGGAAGGCGAGTCCTCTCAGGATGACGCCCTCAAGCCAGAGCAGAAGGCCTGCCCCACCTTGAGACCATCAGGAGCTGAAGCTCCCAAGGCCCCAGAGAAGAGAGGGAAGCACTCCCAACCCCCCTTATGCTAGCTGCACTTCCCCCTCACCGCTGAAGACGCACCCTGTCATCCCCCAAGCCCCACCCCAGCCTGAGGGACGAGATGGGCATCCATGAGGCACAGGTGGGCTCACTCAGTGGCTGGTACCTCACTGTCGGGCAGGGGCTGGGCGAACACGCTGGGGGAGGTGGCGGAAGCATGGGGGTCCAAGCGGAAGCACAGCTGGAGAACCTCTGCCAGGCTCACATACTCCTAGGGTGCCCGGTGGGACGGATAGGGATGGGCAGAGAAGAGGTTAACAGGGTACAGCCGGGTACCCAAACCCGAACTCCATGCCTTGGGGCCATCACTCCATTCAATCAAGATCCAAAGCAGGGGTGGGGAGCCCAGCTGCCTCCTGTGACTGGAGACAAGCAGGCGGTGGGGGGAGAAAAACGCAGCCAGAACTGTCCAAAGGCTCTTCGTGACCTCTACTTCTGAGGCTGCCTGGGTTTCCAGGCCCTGCCCCAGGCAGACCCTGAAGGCCTACCCCTGGGTTTGCTCTGGGCTAGGGACAGGAGAAGCCTAGGTAAGGCCTTCCAAGGGCCCACAGAAGATCAAGACCCAGTTCCCAGAGAACCTTCTGTCTCCAACACATCAGGCATCCGCAATGGGGCACGCACACACAGCACAGAACACCAGCTAATGTTCCCAGAGTGTCTCCTCACACCCCATCTGCTGGGGCAGGAGCTGGAAGGGTTGGGAGTAGAGACACCACTAGGGGGTGAGCTAGACGGGCTCCGCGAGAGAGACCCTAGCAGGGAACGGCTCAAAGCCCAAGTGGAAAAACGGGCCTGCTGCCCAAGGGTTAGTACTTGGAGAGACATTAGCACATTAGACTGTGGGGCGGGAGGGCAGGGCCTGTCACATTCCCTGAGCTTACCGAGGTGCTGGGGGCAAGGCAGGCATCCAACATGCACACTGGGTGCACAGGACCCTAAGCCGGCCCCATCCAGAGGGAGCCCCAGCCTGGCCTAGCTGCAGAGAGCGACTGTCCTCCAGGGGGTTAGGGAAAAGGAAAACAAGCTGGAGGATCCAGTGGGTTGTGAGAACTGATGAACGGCATGCAGAATACATGCACGTTAATATGCAGATTGGTGCTGATTTTGCACGGGCTGCTCAGGCCCTCTCTGGAACAGCAGGATGGCACACTCACTCAGACTCTCACAAACTCTGGCCAAGGGGTTACAGCCCACACACCCTGCAGCTGGGCCCATGGGAGAAGCCGTAGGCAGAGGCTCAGCAAGCAAGCAGACAGGCAGTGGGCACAGCAGGGCGGGCAGTCGGCTGGGATTACCTCTTGTGCTTTGGGGCAGAGCTGAGTGGAAGCAGGTTGGGTTAGGGGGAGAGAGAAGGCCCCGGGCTGAGAAGACCCTGGGAAAGGGACCAGAGTCGCCAACCCCAGCCCCATCTCTGAGGACTCGGAGATGAGCAGTTCAGCCTACAGAGAGGGTACAGGGTGAAGGGCCTCACCCCTCTCGCAGCCCAACCACCCCACCCCAGGCCTCAGTTGCTCGTGCAGTGAGGCAGGGAGGAAGGGAAAGAGCTCGGGAAGCAGGACACGTCCTGGTTGGACCTTATGCCCCACGCATGCAAAGACTCCAGAAAGACGCTTAAGGGATGTCAGCGCCCACCTCTCAGCCAAGAGCCTAGCTCCAGACTGAAGCCCAAGGAGCTCCGAGCTCAGGACCCTGAGTTTTCTGTGCTCCCCCTCGAGGGGAGTCTGCTCAGCCCTGGCCCTCTCCAAACCTCCGAGCTGCCCATCCTCCCCACTCATGCCGCCTGAATCCCCCAGGTGGATTTAATCACTCAAAATGGCAAGATCTGTAAGCTCCTGGGAGCCAGAAAGGCAAATGAAAAGCAGCAGCTAGTAGCCACAGAAGGTCAAATCCCAGAAGTCAGAGCCACTCCAGCTCAGGAAAACATCCCCATCCTCCACCTCAGCTACTGCGCTGCAGGTGCCCCATGCTGCTCCAGAGCCTCCCAAGAGACCCACTGGGTTGAAGTAGGGCTGAGCCCCACACGTTACCTCTTTGAGGGTGGACGTGGTCTTCGGGAAGGGTCTGCCTCCTGTGAGTGAGTGGTATCTTCCCTCCAACATAGTCAGTCTCTCCTTCTCCTGCGAGCCACAAGTGGCCGGGTCAGAACAGAGTGGGGGCAACGGCATAGGAGATGACCAAGTGAAGGGGGTCCTGCGTGGCCAGGAAAGCACACCCCCACCCCGCCCCAGCCTCTCTGCACTGTCTCCCGCTTCCCCATCCTGCCCCAACCCTGACCCCCCCAGCCCACTGGGACTGGGGCCTACCTTCTGCAGCAGCTGCAGGGAAGCGTTCTTGTCCCTCGCCAGGCGCTCGGACTCCTGCACGGCCTGGGCCCGGATCTGCCCTGCCTGACTGTCCAGGACTGCCAAGCGCTCCTGGAGGGGAGGGGGATGGTCCGTCAGGCCTGGGAGACCACAGGGCTGAGCCCGCAGTGAGACCCTTAGCTTGGGTGAAGGGAATCAACCAGCTCTTCTGCTTGGCTTCAACTCACTCCAGGAAAACAGGCAACTATGGTCAGCTCCTGCCCTTGGCCCTCCCTGTACCAGTGACTCCGAAGCCAACAGGCACACCAGCCAGAACCCGAGGCCCCAGATGTCCCCTCCCCACTGTCAACAGGTCTAGAACCTCGGACACACTGAAGAGTTCTCCACCTGACCCACCCCCACTGCCACCCCCAAGTCCAGGGGGTGCCTTCCCGCTGCCTTCTAGCCTGTACCTTTCATCAGCCTCCTGCTGCCGACTCTTGACTTTCTGATGCACCGCAACAAACACCTTCTTAAAATGGCCTTGGAGATTTGTTTTTGTTTGCTTACCTGAATTTTCTAACCCATATACATATATGGATTCGAAAAAATACACACACACACACACACACACATATAATTTGAATAATTTTTAAAAAATCCATAGTAAGGTTCAATCACTCCTCTTCTCAAACCCTTTGAGTGACTCATTACTCACAGGCCAGAGCACAGACTCTTAAGCCAGCTGAGGGCTCCTGGAACTGGGCCTACACTCTTCCACCTCCCAAGTCCCCCAGGTGCCCCCTGCCTGGCCGTGGGGTACACTAAGCTGCAACCTGCATGCTCTCAGGCCTCTCTAACACTGCCCCCTTAGTCCAGGAGAGCTGGCCCTGTCTTTCCACTACCCGGAAAGGAGCTCCTTATCCTCCAAGATCAGATGGAGCACTATCTTTTCTCCAACATCTTCCTCAATCACCAATTTCTCTGCTCCTTCCTCTGTGCTCAATTATTCTGTAGCACATCTGCCTCATATTACTGGTACTTCTGACCATGAATCTCCATCATCACCCCACCCAGGCTGTCAGATCCAAGATCAGGGTCAGTGTCTTTTCTATCTCCATAACCCCAGTAGGGCTTTAGTACCGTGCCTGGCTCAACAACCATGTGCTAAGAGGAAATGAAAAGATAAGTTGAGAAAGAAGGACGGGGGTTGGGGAAAATGGGCTGGGTTAATCCCAGGAGGGCTTCCCAAAAGAAGTGGCCTTAAACCACCACCATTAAGAGAAATGAGTGAGTGAGGAGGGAGGAAAGAAGTGAGCTATCCAGAATGTGGGGTCAGCCCAAGGGGTAAACTGCTAAATAAATAGCAAGATCTGCTATTTATTAAGAAACTGTCCCAGAAACTCCATTAAATGCTTTGCATGTTATCTCATTTAATCCTCTTTTGAGGTAGGTGCCTTTAGCCTTTATGCCCATTTTACAAGTAAGAACACTGATAAAAGGGCAAGCTGGGTGGCTCAGTTGGTTAAGCATCTGACTTCGGTTCAGGTCGTGATCTCTGGGTCCTACCTGTAATCAAGTCCCCATCTGCCCATCCTATGGGGCTCCCTGCTCAGCTGGTAGTCTGCTTCTCCCTGTCTCTTTGCCCCTCCCCCCACTTGAAGGCACTTGCACACACACTCTCTCTCAAATAAATAAAATCTTAAAAAAAAAAACAAACAAAAAAAAAACACTGACACTTAGAAGCTAGTAAGTGCTAGAGTTGGGATTAGAACCCAATCTGGGGATCCCTGGGTGGCGCAGCTGTTTAGCGCCTGCCTTTGGCCCAGGGCGCCATCCTGGAGACCCGGGATCGAATCCGTCGGGCTCCTGGTGCATGGAGCCTGCTTCTCCCTCTGCCTATGTCTCTGCCTCTCTCTCTCTCTCTGTGTGACTATCATAATTAATTAATTAATTAATTTTTTTAAAAAAAGAACCCAATCTGTTGGGACTCCAAAGGCAGTACTCTGAAGCACTCTGAATCACAATGGAGGCAACAGGGGAGCACCGGGCACCAGGGCAGACAGAGCCTGTGATAGGTGGGATACTGGGAGCCGATGGAAGGGAGGCTGAGCAAGGCTCATGAGAAGGGGAAGAATGTGACTCCCAGGGTCCTGGGGGCTGAGCTGGGTTCCTAGAAGCCAGGGTGAGCGATGGGAGGAGAGAACAGGAGTGCAATACCACTGACCCCTCCCAAACTCCCTGGAGCTTACACCCACCAGGACCTCAAAGGGATGGGATTAGCTGATCAAGGGCTCCCTGATGCATTCTCTCCAAAGGAAAGAGGAAGAAGCTGCAGGAGTGACAGTGCCCCATGAAGTACAGTGTAAGGAACAGATACTTTGGGGCCAGGCAGGCCTGGGGTCCAATTCTGACTCTGAAGCTTGTAAGCTAAGAAGTTTGGGGCAGATGTGCGGCTTCTCTGAGACCTCATTTTCCTGTCTATATAAAGTGAGGATAAGAGAACTGGCCTGTGAGACCCTCATAAGGTTGGCAAAAGACAACCCAAGAAAGCCTCCTGGCACACATGCACACACGTGCCAGGGAAATACCAGCTTGCTCCTTCCTTCTGTCTGTCTCCCATCCTCCAGGAAGTGGATGCATTTGCAAAGCAAAGGCAAGCGGATTCATTTGCAAGGCAAAAGCAAGGGAATCCAGACACAGGGGGAGGTCGAGGAGCTCCCCACATACCACCAGCCTCAGCCTAGCCCTCGAGACCCCAGTCACCCCTATTTGATGCCCCTCTGCTGATCTCACTGCCCTCACCTCCCACCCAGTCACTCTACCAGGCAAACTGTGCACGTACCCATGTGTGTGTGAACGGACATGCCAGTCTCAGTCACCAGCATGTGAGCTGCCTGGACCATCCTCCTCCCCAGACTTACTCCCCATACACACACACACACACACACACACACACACATATCCCTGCCCCAACACCCTGTCCTGGTTGGGCTGAGATCAGGAGCAGAGGATCACAGCATCTGAGCTCCAGGACTGGTGAGGATTCGATCAATACACCTTGTTTTATGGCTCAGGAGGTAGGGCTGAGCTACCCATGGAACCCAGGGGATGCCCTTTTCAGGACCCCTGGTTGGCTCAAATATCCAGATCTCAGGACCTTACGTGTTTCCCAGCACGTCCACCAGCCAGAGAGCTCTACAAGGGCAGCAGCAGGCCTCTCCCCCAGCTCCCTCCTCCCCCATCTCCACCTTCCATTTCTCTGCCCAGCCAGGGCCAGCTCCAAATGTGAGCCCAGTCCACGCTCCACTGGAGTCCTAACAGTTCCTTTCTGCCCAGCGCTCCCTACAATCAGAGCCCATGCTGTCCTCACATGTACCGTCTTGCTTCATTCTCTCGACAGACTGTTCTCATTTTGCAGATAAGGAAACTGAGGCTCAGAAAGGTAAAGTTAGCTTTTATGGGGTCATCAGCTGGGAGCCAAACCTAGCAGGGATGCATTCATTGGTTGTGGCATCCAACCACCCCCTTGGCCCTGAGGAACCCCTCACCCTGGAACCCAGCACAGGGGACGCCAGGGTGAGACACACCTTCCTCTTGGTGATGCTGCGGAGCAGCTCGGCCTGGCTCCGGAGCAGCCCCTGGCCCGCCAGCTCCCGCTCCTCCTCCACGCGGCTCTCCCGCTCCAGTTGCTGGAACTCCAAGTCCTCAAACAGCTTTGTCTCCGTCTCCAGGGCCTCGGCCTCCTTGAACGACAGTGACAAAGGGGGTCGGGTGGTGCTCGGGGTGCCCCTCTGGGCCTGAAAGGCCAGGCCACAGAGGCAGGAGTTCTGAGGGCCGGCCCCAGGGAAATTGGGGAAGGGACCTGCCCCACCCAACCCCCTTGCCTCTGCTTGGCTTTGCCCCTTGCACGGGCATCACGGCCTGGAGTAGCAGAAAGGAGAAAATCACTCCCCCCACCATCCTTCCCTGTCCCCTCCAAGCCACAGCACCGACCCTGGTGTCCGGGTCCGGCAGGTACTGCAGGGCCCGGGGTGGTCCCGTCCCACTGCTCTCCTCTCTTCTGGGTGGGTGGCCCTCGGGGGCCAGGGAAGGGGGGCTGGTGAAACTGACCCTTCTCAGCTGCTCCTGTAACTGTTCCCGCACTGACTCGGGGCAGTTATCGAGCTGCGTCTGGAGCTCGGCGTAGAGCGCCTGGCGGGCCTCCAGGTGCCTCCGTCCCGCGGCCAGCTCCGCCCTCTCCTGGTCGGCGGGAGGGGGGGGGAGGGCGGGCACAGGGGAGAAACAGAACACACACTCCTCAACTCCGGCCCGGGCACTGCGGAGGCCGTGGGGGGGATGGGGGTGAGGCGGCCAGGGCGGGAGAGAGAGAGCTGGGGAGCACAGGGGGGGTGGGCGGAGAAGCCAAAGCTGAGGAGTTGAGGAGTCACAGAGGAGGCTAAGCGAGAGAGGAGAGAGGGGGAGATCACGGGGAAGAGGTGAGGAGCTGCGGCGCAGACAGGACTCGACACTCACAGGTGCAGGGGGCGGTGTGAGGCGGGCAGAGGTGTGGCTCTCGGGGCAGAAATTTTGGTCTCTCTGGAGTCCCCTGGACTAGAAACATTCGGGGAGGTCCTAAGAAAAGCCCTCTGTTTTCTCCCGCAAAGCAGTCAAGGCCAAAGCTGGTTCCCCATTGCAAACGCAGAGCAGAGGCTCCCGTTACTCCCCACCTCTTCTGCTGCCTAGAGACCAAAATTTAACCCTGGGGCAAAGGGAAGAAGAGCTGGTGAAGGTCAAGTCCAGGGGCTGCGCGTGACTCAAAGCTGGAGATGTTACAGCTACGGCAGGGCAGGGCAGTGGAGGGGACCCCAGCCCAACTCCCTGGGCCTCCCTCCCTCCTGCCCAGGGTGGAGGTGGGGTGCTGGCGCTGTAGGCTGAACTTCAGCAGGATGAGGGTTGCAATTAGTTCGGCCGTTACCATGGCAATAGGAGCCCCAGGAGTGGGTACAGAGAGGAGGTGGATAGCTCTGTCTGGGGCGAGATGACACCTCTGAGGGCGGGAAGGGGGATGAGGGGAGGAGCTGGTGAGTCACCCCTCCGAAGGACAGGCAGAGGAGAAACTATGATTACTGATTCCAAAATCAGAGTGGGGCCATGGGCTGCAGAGGAAAGCCTAGTGAATCTTCCCCATCCCACCAGCACCTCAAATAACTGAGCCCAAAGAGAAGGCCAAGTCCTGGCCTCTAGGCGATGCCAGGCAGTGAGGTTGGGCAGCTTCCTTCTGAAATGCTGAGCCTACTTGAAGTAAGTCCCTATGCCAAATCCTACCCTGCCTCCCTGACCCCCTCGCCTCCCATCCCAAGAGAGAAGGACCCAACCAGGCTAGTTCCTGTGGTCCAGGAACATCCCCCTCCTTGGACTCAGCCTTTACAACACCCTAGGTTCTCGATGGCTCAGGGGTGGGAGAAGAGGACAGGCCTGCTCATTCCCATCCTCTGGCTGGGGTATCTGAATTTGGGGAGCCCCAGGGGGGAAGCAAAGAGGGCAGCCACCGTGTGGCAGAGAGAACCTGTCCAAGCCCTCCACGGGCCATGCCTCCACAGCTGCACCTCCTGACCTCTCCGCTCCAGAAGGGAGAGAGAAGGCCAGCGGATGGCTTGCTGCCTCTCCCTGCTGTGCAGGAAATGACCAACAGTCTATGGAGGCAGGGCCCCAGGCTTTTCCAAATAGGGGATGCTCTTCAGGCTGAGAAGCTCCTCAGCAAAGCATTTCCCCCAACCTTTACCCTTCCTGCCAATGCACCATTGAGTAAAGTTGATCTGTGCCCCCTGCCCGTTCCTTTCTGATCAAAACCCTGGAGCCCCACGCCAAGAAAGGAAGGAGGCAGAATTAGAGGGGTGGAGCACACCCTGAGTTAGTGCAAAAGCAGGCGTGGCTCAGCCCTGCCTGGGTGGCACTGGCAGTTAGGGGCATGCGGAGAGCCCAGGACAGTGATTAGAGGGGGCGTTAGTGCAGGCCTGGTTGGGAAGCGTGGAGTTAATTTGGCACAGAATTCGGGAGTGTGGTTTTGGGGGCCAGAGCCAAAGCTCCAAAAAAAAAAAAAAAAAGGGTGGGGGGTGTCAAAGAATTTTAAGAGTTTCAAAATTGGGACAGGAGGAAGACACTCTCAACAAATTCAGAAGGAAAATTAATTCTTGGAAAAATACTGTCAAGTCCAGAAAGAGATGGCCCTGCTCCACACTTCAGAGCTTTTGGCACGCTGTTGGGCATCTGGACCTGGCTGGCACGGCCCCTGTGGACGGAGCGACCCCTGCAGGCTGGCACGAAATCTGAAAGGGGTGGGGGCAGGAGCTGGGACCACCTGGGATGGGAGGCTGCAGATCCTGAAGGCTCAGGGGAAGCAGAGACCTGAGGGCCATCTCCCCAAGATCACATCCTGAGCACACGAGGCATGCTGGAGGGCAACGTTCTCTAGATGGAGGGACCCAAACCCAAATCACTTGCCAACACCAGTCACTCAGGCTGTGCTCGATGCCCAAGGAGAGGCTCTGGCACTTCCTAGAAGGGCTATGAAGGATGGGGAATGGCAGGCACCCAGAGATAGCACAAAGACCCAGACAGAGGACATCCCAGACTCCAGGCCCGCCCCTGACAGTGCCCTTCAAGCTTGTACCCAACACAGAGGACAGAGCCCCCTGCCCCTGGGGGACACAGAGACCACCAGGTCTGCAGGATGGCTAGCGAGCTAAGGGATAAGAGGCCTAGAGGAGGGATCCCTCCTCTCACAGGCCACAGGCAGCCAGCGCCGGCCAGGCCAGCTGTGGGTTACCTTGTCCCTCTCCTTCTGGATGCCAGTCTCCAAGGTCACTAACTTCTCCTGCAGCTGGTCCACTGCCTTCTGCTCCTTCTGCAGCAGTGCCCGTTCTGCCTCCCTCTCCCCCTGCAGCAACGCCCGTTCCATCTCAGCCTGGGGGCGACACCGAGGTCCACGTCAAGGCCAGTCACAGTGGACAGACTGAGGCCCCTCGGGAGGCTTGCACTCTGCCTGGGGAAGAGTGAAGCCAGGGCCCTTGGCTCACCTCTCGGGCTGACTCCTGCAGCTGCTGCTCCAGCTCCTTCACGCGGACTTTGAGCTGCTCCACACGCCCCAGCACCTGAGCCCGCTCCTCTTCCAGAGCCAGCACCTCTCCCTGAAGCTTGGTGCTAGGGGCATCTTCGTGCTGGTGGGGAGAGTAGCCATCAGCTGGGGAAGGCTTCCCCTGATCAGACTCAGTGAATGCATCCCCACTCCTCGGGGCACTTGGTGGCTAGACTGAGGGAGGAGGCAAATTCCCTCCCTGCAAGGGAAGCAACACCAGCTCAGCGAAAGGGCCTGGAGGTTCACCACTGAGCGCCAGGCCTGGAGGGGGCCACAAAGAAAGGCAGGTCCGAAAGCGTATCTATAGCCCAGGAAATGCATCCACACCTCCTCCTCTCACTTCTACCCCTCTTATCCCCAATCTCTTCCCTCACCTGCCCCTTCGGTTGGTTACCTCCTCCTCACCGGGTCCTAGCCTCCACCACACTGGCCTCCTCTGCCTCTGCCCCCCCAGCAGGTAAGACAGGGGGGACCCAGGCCCTCTCACCAGGTGCCCCTCCAGCCCACCTCCTGCTGGGTGCTCTCCGTGCTGCTGCACTCCTCCTTCAGGTTCTCCTCATCTGAGCGCTCCACACACTCCCACAGGCGTGGGGTAGCACCCCCAGGCTCTTCAGTACTCCGCCCCGAGGCTCCAGGGGCCCCAGAAAGGCCTCGTGAGGGCCTGCGGCCCACCAGCGCCAATGCCGCAGTGGCCTCCCCGATGCTGGGCAGCTCCCCCGCCTCAAGGCCCCCATCAGCACGGCTGTACTCCGCGCACAGGTTCAGGATGGTCTCCAGGCGCTGGCGCTCCTGGGGAGGAAGGCAGGGCAGGGCAGGGCATGAGGGGGGCGGGAGGTCGGGTCCTGGTGGAGTTAGAACCAGGCCCGGCAGGCCAGAAGAAAGAACTAGGGCACTGGGGTAACTGGGGCTCAGAAGGAAGTCAGGAGAGCCCCAACCCCAAGGCCTGAGGAGGCAGAGGGAAGGAAGGTGTCCCAGAAGTCGGGAGGAGGAACCAGGCCACTCTGCCACCTGCCTACATGGCGAGCCCCTCCCATCTTCCTGCTTCCTTTCCCTTTGCCACAGAAGGGCCTTCCTTGTGGACACACAGGCACCCAAACTGGCGATCCAGGTAAAGACCACAAGACACAGGTAAACTCTCAGATGCTCATGCTGATGCGGATCCAGAGATCTACAGAACCAAGGGTACACCAACCCCCTGCACGCGCGCGCGCGCACACACACACACACACACACACCGGTCCTCACACACAACGACACAAGTGCTCTGCATTTGCGCTAACAGACAGGTACACACACAGACACCAGCCCTGGCATGCACGGATGCACACTGGCACACACTCAGCATAAACACAGTCTAGCATACAGACAGGTGGGCCTGGACACAGACGGGGCCTGCCAACAGACCCACAGGCAGAGGGGGATCTCAGGCTCACGCAGTTACACTCAGCATGTCTACACCAGGCCAGCCAGAGCTGGGACACGGTCCTCCTCATGCCCACCCTGGCTCTAAAGTCACTCTCGGGCAGCCCTCCACACCTTTCCAGCCAGGTGAGCTGCTGCCCGCCCTGGAGTGTCCAGGCCCATGTGAGTACTCTAAGGGACAGCCACTTCATCCACCTTCCTCTCCACAAACAGCTCCAGCCAGAAATCTCTCAGGGGCCCATGAGGTGAGGACGGATAAGACGATCATGCTCTCGATCTGGGATCTGGGTCCCCCTCTCTCATTCATAGCCCTCCAGCCTTGAAGCCCCCCTCCCCAGGCTCCCATCCATGGCTCTGCAGGGTACCATTAACCTCAGGTGTCTCTCACTGCACAGTTTGGCCATCACCCGGGGACACATACCCAGCTTCCCTCCTGCTGCTTGCTCAGTTCCATGTCCAAAAAAAAAAACCAACCAGGAACAGAGTCTCAGCACTCAGGAGGCTGGGCCAGTGCCCCCGCCCCTGCCCCAGGACCCAGATAAGCAGCCTGCTGAAGGTGGGAGGGGCAGGGCAAGCAGCCTTCAAGATTTAAAGTGGCAGGTGGGGCAGGTCAGGGCTGGCGTGAGTGTGCCTATGCCTGGGGGTGCGGAGGCTGAAAGGAGTTGAGGGAGGCTGGGCCCATCACGCTGCCTCTGCCAGACTCACTGCTCCCTCTCCAGGATGAAACCCCAGGGTGGTCCAAGCTCGCTCCTCTAGCCAAGGTAACAACAGGGAAGAGAAAATGTAGCAACAGGAAACACCAGGCATCCTGCCTCAGCTCTCCCCGACCCGCAAGAATACACTGGCCTGCACCCTCCCCGCACCCTCACCTCACCCAAAACTGTCCATCCCAACCTCTTCTGAAAAGCTCTCCAGACAAACCTCCTCATTTCTGGATCTCCTCAAATCAATCCCAGGGACCCTGGGCCCCCCAGCAACCCTGTTCAGCTCACAAGCCATCCTCCCGTATGTGTGCTCGGAGTGTCTGCTCACCAGCCAGAGCCCTGTGAGCTCCCTGCGCTATCCGGGGAATCCTGGCCCCCACCCAGCTCAGATGCCGTCTCCAGGACAGCTGCCCAGAGCCACACCCAGGCCCCCCGAATGCAGCCACATGCATGCTCGCCAATGCACATAATCACATGGTCCAGCCTGGAGTCAGGCCAGGGGCTGCCCATCTTGTTCTCTTTCTCTTCCCTGCCACCCACATTCCCAAGATGATCCCACCTGGGTTAGGGTGAGCAGCTCCCACCCATATGGAAAAGACCAAAAAGAAAGCAAGAGAGAAAGACCTTTCCTAAAAAACAAGGTTTGGAAAGACAGACTTAGATTCTCATTCCAGCTCTGCCGGAACTTGCTGTGTGACCTTGGACATGCCCAATCTCCTCTCTGGGCCCTCAGCCCTCTCATCATTAGGACATGCTTCTCAAACCGAGAGGTACAAGGCCTCACCAGAAACTTGGTGCGACTTCCTATAGCTTTGCTATATTTGGGTAAATAATGCGAAATTTAACTTTTACGTTAAAGCAAATGCTGTGCTATAGAATGAAAGCAAAATTAATATGCATTTAAAATAAAGCCTTAGAGACTTCAAAGTTCCTCAGGGCACCAAACCACTGATATGGCTAAGGTGCATCCTGGAAGTAGACAAGCTTGAGAAGCCCAGCCTTCCAAGGGCCCCTGTCACTCTGCCAGCTGGCCTGCCCACGCCCTGGCAGGGACCCCGCTGGGGATGGTGGCAGCCTCTCTGGCATCCGCTCACCAGCCTCTCCATCTCCTGCTCCCAGAGCCGTTCTTGGCGCTGCCGCCGGTGGTACTCCAGGAGGTCGTCCTCATTGTCGCTGATCTCCGTAATGCTATTTTTCCGCTCCCGAGTGACAGGCACCCGCAGGTCCCCACTGGACAGCTTCCTCTGGGCACGGGGGCTCTGGCGGGGCGAAGCCCCTGTCAGAGAGCCCAGACTGTAGGCCGGGCTCAGCCTGCCACTGAAGCTGCCCTTGCGGGGCGCCAGGGACTCCCCAAGTGTGGGTGAGGGACTCCGAGTCCTACGGCCCCGCGCCCCGAGGGTCAGTGAGAAGTCCTCTGGTGATGCCCCGTGGGCTGCCCAGCGCCGGGGCCGGGGACTCTCAGCCACTTCTCTGGTTAGCTTGGGATCTGGAGTAGTCCTGGTGGGCATCGGGGACAGCGCCCGTCGGGACAGTGACGGGCTCAATGGGGGCAATTCCCGCATACTGTCCAGGCCCCGCCGGCCCAGGCGGGGGCTCTCGGGGGGCTGCAGAGTGCGGGCGACTGACCCATCTGAAAATGTCCGGCCCACCAGCTGGCGTGAGGGGCTGGTTGTCAGCACCCGCTCGGTGCTGGGCAGCTCACGGAAAGGGCTGGGAGGACGGTCCTGGAGGGTGCCGATCTTGTTTCGGGGAGCAGGGACTGGAGGCTGGAACTTGGGGCTGCCAGGAATGCTGGTGGGTTGGCTTCGGGCACCGGAAGCCGGGTACTCACTCAGGCTGATGGCCACCACGGGCAGCTGTCCACCCAGCCGGGGGCTCTCAGTGGCTCTGCGGGCCTCAGCCAAGACTGTGGCTGCAGGGCTGTCTGTCAGCAGACCTCGGAGGCCAGGACTGGGAGGCCTCTCGTGACCCCCTTTCCTGCCCAACCGGGGGCTCTCAGAGGGGCGGGCACCACTCGGTCGGGGCTGTGGGGGCTGCAGAGCCAGATGGTAGCTGGAGGAACGGGCAGGGACCAGCGGGGGCATGGAAGGTGCTGGCTCCTGCCCGCTGGGTGAGTGGCTGGCGCAGCTTCCACTGCTGGCTGGTGAGGAGAGTGGAGAGAAGGCTGGAGAGGTGTTCTCATAGCTGGAGCCCACGGACATGGCACCAGGGCTGGTCGGCGGGGACAGCAAGTAGCGCCCACCGTTAGCCATTGGCGACAGTGGGGAAGTCACAGCAGGCTTCTTGCCTGCCGCCCCAGGCTCCTCTAGCACCAGTGAGTCCATGATTTCCTGCAGGTCCTTCTCAATAGAGCTCACCAGGGAGCTGTGGCTGGCACAGGCAGAGGGTCCCCGGGTGGCAGGCTGTGGGGTGTGGTTCCCGTTCACCAGGCTTTCTGATTCTGCTGGTGGGAAACACAAAGATGCCTCAGGCCCTGGTCTTCGACTTGGGGAGCTGTGTGTGCACGAGAATGAAAGTGCTCTCTGGCCTTCTTCGAGAAGCTAGGAGATCTGGGTTCCAGTGCTGGCTCTGCCACCAGCCTGCCAGGCAACCTTAAATCACTTGTCCTCGGTTGTCCTTTCTGTAGTGGAAGGGGGTGGGTGCTGTTCTTCTGGCTCTAATGTTTTCTGACTGAGGACAGGGTTGGTAACAATGCCAGGCACTTCTAGGCCTAGTGGCTGGGAGCTCACCCCAAGATTAGGTTCCTCCCGCCTTGGTTTCCCCAATGTCCTATACCTCTCCTTTAGGAAGGGCAAGTGGGCATTCTGTGAAGGAGCCAGAGCGGAGCATGCTACTGTGGAGCTGGCCAGAAGTTCAGGGGCTAGGGGGTGGGTCCTAATAGGACATTAGGGCCTCACAGCAGAGCAGACCCAGAGGAAAACACAAACGTAACCTCCAGGGATGGGCAAGAGGCAGGTATTGTGCCACTCTGCAATGAGAGGCAGGGAGGGCCCGGAACTTATGGGTAGCTGCAGGAAGCCAGGCTGCCCAGCAACGCGGTGCCACTCGGTGCCTCCAATTATTAGCCCATTAGGCCACGCCAGCAAGAGCCTGCCCTTGCCCTGCCCCAGGCCTTGTTGACCAACCAGAAGTCCCAGGAACCAGTGCCCCAACAGCTAAGGGAGTGGCATGATGAGGCGAGGGTGAGAGCAGGGTAAAGTCAGTCAGGAAGCAGACCAGGAACCCAGGCGTCTGAGGAGCTCACCTGACATCCACGTCTACCTGCCTCCGTACCAGACAGACACCTGTCATCGCACAACCATCTGAATGCCCATACAGAGTCTCAGCTGGGAGGTTCACTGGCAGCCTCCTGGTCTACACCCTACCCCACCCCCTAGGCAGCTGGGTTGAGGGGGACTGTGCTGGTTCCCTAGAACAATCACCAACTCTCTTCTGGGGATCAATAATTCACATACAAACTGCAGCTGCTCCACTGAGTAATCAGCTGGCATAGTCTCGGGGAGGGGGAGGGCCTGAGGACCCAATCACCAGCAGGTGGGACCCATCAGCACTTGCAGGGGTTAGACCTAATGCTTCCTTCCGCCCCCTAAGGCCACCGTCAAGGGTGAAGTTTGCTGGTGGTGACACAAGAGGGTTAGGGTCCCAGACACTGAGGTGGCATCTTCCAGGGCAGTGGGGCTGGCACAGCTCTCTGTCCCTTGGGCACATGATTCCTCTATTCCAGCCAAGCAGCACTTCTTGGATCTGTCCCAGTGGCCAGACTGCCTGGCATTCTCCACCAGTGGCCAATGGCAGGTGGCAGCAAGCCCAGATCATGGACATTGTCCTGCCCTGACACCGAGAGCGTGGTTGGAATGGGTGAGGAGGAGGATTGTCCAGGAGTACCACCAACCCAATCCCCTGCCCCAACTGGCCATCTCTACCTGAGCCAGGACTGTAGGGGGGCCCTGGGGCCCGGCCCCCTGCTGGAATCATGCTCTTCATCCACTTGGCTTCAGCTGGGTGGTTAAAACGGAGGAAGGTGGACTGACCCAGGCACACCATACAGCCTACAGAGAGAGCAAATGCTGAGAAGGGCCGATAGGGCTGAGGCAGCCCTCACCCTAAAGTATTAACAGGTTCACTCCAAGTTCCAAAAAGCCTTCCCCACCTGCACTCAGTGTCTACATGGACAATTCCTAACCCCACCTGTGCTTGAGACAGGCACCAGCAGGGCTCCAAAGCACAGGGCAGAGTAGAAAGAGCACAGGTTTTTGAGTCCCAAGATCTGAATCCTAGTCCTAACTCTTGTTACTAGTGGTGAGATCTTCAGGTGAAGTCACTTAACCTCTGAGTCCAATTCTTGCAGTAGAAAAATGAGAATATTACAGACCTTACAGAGTTAATAAGATAATGTATGTGAAGGTGTCCTGAGAACGGAGTTTCTTCAAAGAACCCATGTCCTCCCAACCTGTACCAGTGATCCATCTATCTGCCCTTTGGGTGGAAAAGTCAGTTTGAGACGCAACAATTTCCAGGATGAAAATAGCTCTGAGAAAGGGGACAGGGGAAAGCCATTAATCAGTTAGATGCCCCCGGAGGAACCAGAATTTGCTTCCTGGCTCCGACTCCTTATCATCACGTGGCTTAGGGAGAACCACCACCCTCTTTCTCTCTGACAACGTACCCTCTGGTCTGACATCTTGCTCCTTGGTCTTCCCTGGAATCTAGCCAAGCCTAGGGCCAATGGGCCCAGCCTCAGCCAAGCACATTCCCAGGCAGCAAACACAAGCCCAGTCCTGCCCAGTAAGTGTGACTACACAGAGGGGAGAGTATGTGGGAGCCAAAAACATAGCCAGAGGCACCAAGAGTCTGCACAGCTGCAGGTGTGCCCACAGGCGCCTGCACCTGGCTAGCAGCACTCCTCCTCCTGGCCACACTACGGGAATCCTGCAAAAGATGCTATGTTGGGAGAAGCCAGAGCCCTGGTGCTCTCTATAACCACCCTCCCAATTTGTCCACACCCTGCCCCAGCCTATCTACCCAATCTGGTGCCACTTGGCATCCCCAAGCTCCATACCAGTCTGAGCTAAGACTGGCAGGGAAGTCTACATTCCTGGACGCTGAGACAGTTCAGCTCAGGCAAGCCACAAGGGCAAGGGGCATCCAGGCCACGTGGATAACGCGGGAGGGCCCCCCACTGAGCAGCTCAGGAGCCTGTTGCTGGGACCTTAAGCACTGCAGTGGCAGGTGGGGAAGGGGCCAGCGGGCTGAGAAGCCCACAGCAAATAACCATAGTGGACAAAGCTACCCATTTCTCTGGCACACCCAGAGATCCTCCGAAGCAGGCGGGCACCAACAATTCTGAAGACTGATGGGTGGTTAGGAGAAAGGGAAGCCTTCCCCGCCAAGCCGCCAATCAGAGGAGCTGATACCAGAGTAATCATAACCGAGTAATAGCCAACCACACTTCCATCTAATTACAACCACAGCTGTTTCAGAAAGAGCCCTGCTGGCCCCTCCCCCTCCTTACAGCCCTTTAACAAGCTAATTAATGATGAGTTCGCAGGGTCTAGACAGACCCGCTCAATCCTAGATTGATGGGGGTAGGGTGGGGTGGAGTGGGGGGAGGACCGGAGCCTGATCACACCACCCGGTCTGGGACGACAGAGGTGGGGAATCTGAGTGGATTCCAGCCCATCGTGCCAGGCCCACCCAAGGAGGCTGTGGGCACCCAGGGACCCTTGGCCCTGGCTTCTCGGGCTGGGAGTTCCCTGCCCCCAGCCTCCTCCACAGAGGGGGTGTGGCCTTGCTGCCTCTGGGCTATAAATAGGTGATGCCAGGCAGCAGAGCTGGATCTGTATTAATAGAGCGGGCAGGAGGGCAACAGGAGGAAGAGCAGCTCAGTCCTGCCCAAATTAACTTTCTATTTGCACTCAGGGGCCCCAGGCGTTGCCCCAACTCCCGCTCCTACAGCCCCAGGAGCCTGGCTAGCCCATTTCTGGGAGGAAACCTCCTCTCTGTCCACTCCTGCCCCACACCTCCAAAGGTCAGGCCACTCGGGACACCCAAGAACCTCTTCCCATCCGGACAGTTGTGGTCCGTGCCCCACCCCCTCCCCAGAGGGGCACAGGGCCCAGCTGTGTGTGTGCAGGTGGGTGGAGAAGCTGCACATCTGGAGGGAAACACACACACGGGGCAAAGGAGAGGGCGGATCCTATGTGTGAGAGACACGGGAAACACCACACGCACACGCGCACGCACCCCACACTCTCCTCCAAGCTCACACACAGCCATACCTGCTCACGCCCTCACGGAGCGACTGTCACCGCTCGGCTGGCCACACAAACAGAATGCACTGGCCAAGGGGAGGCTGGGTGCGGGCAAGATGGGAGGGAGGGTCCCCGCCCTGCCGTCAGAGACCCCCCTCAGCACCGAGCCCCGGCCTCCCCACCCTCATCAGGACCCCAACCCCTTCCGGAGGCGGGCCCACCGAGGGGACTTCCGAGCGCCCGGGAGGATGCGGTCGCCCCGGCCGGCCGCGAGTGGCCCCAGCCCAGGCCTCCCACTCACAAATGTGCAGGACACGCGGCCCACCGAGTCTCCCGGCGCCCCGAGCCCCCGAGCCCCCGGAGGGCCCCTCCCAGCCTCCCCCGCACCCCTGCCCCGGGCCGGCCCCTGGGCGCCCGCTGCCCCGGGCAGACGACTCACCGCCGAGCCGGACCTCCGCAGCGCCGGCCCCGCTAGCTCGGCCCGCCCGCCCCCCGCGCCCCGCGCCCCGCGCCCGCGCCCGCCCCCGCCCCCGCCCGCGAGGGGCGGCCGACCTCCCGCGCCGCGGCCCCGGGCTCGCAGCACTCGCCGCCAGGCAGCCAGCAGCCGCCAGGGCCCGGGGAGGGGCGGGCCGGCCACCGGCGGGGGGAAGGGAGCCAGGGAGGGAGGGACAAAGGAGAGGAGGAGGGGAAGAGGAAGTGATGGAGGAGAGGAGAAGGGAGCGGATGGAGAGGGCGGGGCGGGAGGATGCGGGCGGCGGGCTCGGGGCGCGGCCGGAGCAGAAGTGGGGCCGGGGAGGCAAGGCTGGGAGATGCCGGAAGGAAAGGTCAGAGGTAAGCGGAGGCCGCAGGGCGCAGCGTCGGGAGGCAGGAGTGAGGAGCAGCAGGGCCTCGCTGAGCCCTCCGGGGAACGGGGCCCTGGACCTGGACCCGCTGGCTGCTCACCTCGGGCCATCACACCCTCTGGCCTCAGATCCCTTATCTCCAGAATGAGGAGGTTGTCCTCAATGACAGCAGAGGTTAAGCTCTGACATTCCAAGGCTCCCCGGGTTCCAGCTAGGTCACTAGGTCCAGCTCCAGCCCTCCCAGAGCCACCGTGACAAGGTCACTCACTCCTGGGCTGGGAGTTCAGGCCAAGGCAATGCTCTGTGCAGTGTCAGCATCACTGAGCCCAGCTCCCATCTCCACCCCAAACACCTCCTCCTCTGCCCCTGCTTCCCACACTCCCAGCAGCTCAGTTCAGCTCACCCCACAACTCAGCCTGGACTGAGGCATTGCCCCTTCCAAGCCAGCCCACTTCCCTGGGGCTCTGGAAGCCAACCCCACCTCCTCCCAACAACCACCACCAGTTGTGCCAGTCTCAGCAAAGAGCTGTCCCACCCCAGTGAGGCACCTTCCCATCTGGAAAACACAGTGCCACCTGTCTCCGGAGCCCCCAGGGGCTGGCCAAGCTTCTGGGCCAGGTAAGTACCTACCACCTAGCCTGGGCCCCAGACAGTTCCTCTTGTTCCAGGGACCTCCCCAGAACTTGAAGGCCACACTGTGTTCTCTCAGATATTCTATAGGCTCCGAGATCACACGCCTTACCCACTTTCTCAGATACACACCAACATCTGCCCCAGTCACACAGACACCACCTTGGCTGTGACACCGAGTCACATAAACACCCCAGGTGAACATACCCTCTCTCACACATGCTGATTCTCACCCACACAGCACCCCTCTTAGTTACACACTCATTCAGGCACAGACATCTTTTCACTCAATCCCTGGAAAGACTCTGAAATCAAAAGCCTGTCTCCTTAGAGAAATAAATTATTTCTCCACCCTTGCTGAACACCTACCCACACTGCGATACTCCAAACACGCTCACACACATACACGCACACGTGCATCTCACTCCCCTTCTGAAGGGAAATGGAATAACCGTATAGGGTCAAATGCAAAATAGGGGGAGGTTTTAAAAGAAAAAAAAAAAAAGAAAAATCTCAGGAAGAATGATTCATCAGTCTGGAAACTGTGACGGCCAGCTGGACAGACCCAGACAGACACGGAGGATGCCCGCCAGAGAGAAATAGGGCAGGACACAGGCCCAGAGAAGGGAGCAGCTAGGAGCCTTTGTTTTTTCCCTCTCCTTCCTGTGATCTTTCTAACAGAGGACAGTTGGAAGCTTCACTCCCATTTTACAGAAGGAATAACTGATAACTGGATAGGAGAGGAAGAGGCTCAGTGTCCTGGATCCAGACAGTTGGATTACCCAGGAATGCCAGCTCCCCAGCCACATGCCAGGGAGCCCCCCACCTTCTGGCCTTCACACAAGCCCCAATGAGTGAAGGGAGTGAAGGAGACGTGGAGACAGGGCTGGCAGCAAATGCTGGAAATGGATGGGGACCTACTGTCTAGACAGCCCGGGCCCTAAGCTGTGTGGCTTTCTGGGTCCTTCCCTGGTTAGTCCCCTCCCGAGGCTTTCATGTGGTCTGGCGCTGTGGTCCCGGGGTGGGGCAGCCTAGACCCGACTGAGATTCCTTGTTTCCTTGGTCACATTCCCAGCTCCACCTCTTGCTCCTTAGAGAAGAGGGCAACATGAGCTATGCCAGAACACCCATATGGAGGTGGAATCAGGCTCATCCCTGGCTCCATCACCTCACGCTGCCGTGTCCACAGCTTTAGCAAAGGGCTGGCATCTGCTTTCTGCTGCCCCTACCCCCCACCCCCGGCCCAGGCATAGTCCTGCTGGAAGAGCCTGTCACTGCCATCTCTACTCATCATGACGTGTGCCTCTCCAAGTTGGCTATGGCTGGGCACAGTGCCCAGAATGATGCATCTATGTAGGGCCTAGCCCAGACAGAACTGGCTCCTTGTTATTTGTAGGATGGCCCTCTGTTTTTCAAAGAGGAGGGTCCCCCTCTAAGGCTGGATCTGGGGAACAAGACAGGGGAAATGATCCTCCTGTATGTATGCCCACAGATAGGCCCTTGGCCAGTGACTTCTCAAATACACCTAGGAGTGCACACGTGGACCCTTTGATACCCTCAGTCCTGAGTTCACCCTGTCCCCCAGTGAACACGCTGATCCATAAACACAAGGAAAGACACAAACAGAGAGAGACACAAGCCCAGAGTCACAAACACATCCGGAGATATATAAACACACTCCAGTTACACAGACACACAGAGATAGCACATGCACCCCCGAGCCACCCAGTTTCCAGGGAAACGCACTCCCAAGAATGTCCGGAGTGGGGCCAGGCAGGGCTGGGCTTGGTGCCTTGCTCCAGAGATGAGACAAGGAAAGCCTCAGCTCCCGGAGCCCAGGGGAGGGGGAGTGCTAGGGAGAACACCCGTTCCTTTGTGCCTCTGCCTACCCCTCCCCAGGCTGCCAAGCTCCTGAGACAGGCAAGCCCAGACTAGAAGGCTATGGGAGTGGGAGGGAGCAAAAGGGAAGGGGGTTTGGGGTCAGAAGAGAGTGGGAGGGTACATACTTGGCAGGGTGGGCTCTTGGCTAGGGAAGAGTTAGGGGTCACTGGGGCCACAGGAAATGCCTAAGAATTCCATCTTGACCTAGGCCCTCCCTCTTCTCAGGGAGCTAAATGATGCTCTGGGAAGACTTGAGCTAGAAGTGTCTTACAGAGCATCCCTTCCCCCACCCTGCTCACCACACACAGGTTCTTGCCCATTCAGCGAGGGATTTGGGGCTGGGGGAGTAAGGGCTGTGCTCTTTCTCTAGCCTTCTTTGAACTCTGCCCTTCCTTCTCCTTACTGCTTTACTATCTCTCTTCCACACACCCAAATCTTGGGAAAGATGTTCTCTTTGAGATCGAACGAGACCATCAGGAACCAGATGGCATCACAGCCAAAGCTCCAACTTACAAGAGTGCCTCCTATCATCTCATCTAGAGTCAGAGAACTCCAAGCCCTGGAGAGCCAAGGGCCTGCCTACTGCTGCTAGTGGACCTGCCTCTCTGAAGCCAGGTGTCCTCCTCATAGTCCCCAAGGCAGGAGGAAAGGAGGAGGGAAAAGTTGGGTCTCCTGGGTCAGCTGTGAAGGGAGTGGCATCTAAAGAGACCCTCAGGGATGTGAACAGAAGGAGAGGAGACAAAGGAATGAGTGGGATTTCCACTGCAAAGGAGCTTCCGGCCAGTAAGAGGTGAGTGTCCCCAGAAAACAAGGGCAGGACCTTACTCCTGCTCAGGGCCAGGCTTGGCCCAAGGCTCCTATCCTCAGGTCAACCCCACCTCTACCCTCTACCCCAAGTCACTTTTCTCAATCCCCTAACCTGATGATTCATGGGATCAATGGATGCCCGAGGCAAACACACCTAGGCCAACCCCATGACCCCATAACACTGGGTCATGGTCACCATATTACCTAGGGGCCCAGTTTTCAGAACTGCCTAACACAACAGAACGGCCTGTGACTTTAGGGAACAGGGTGCTAACCATATCACAACCCCGAAGCTACAGTCAATGGTATTTTAACAGGAGTGAGCAGCATCCTCAGCTCTCACCTTTGCTCCATCCCCATCAGAGGGTATTAGGGTTAGTCCTACCTTCCCACCTCTACGTCTTCTCAGAGCCGCTCCTTCTTGGCCTCATGAAACAATGACAGTTCTCCTCGCTGATGTTCCAATTGCTCTCCCTTAACCATCACTAATGACCACTGCACGGCTTCCCCTGCCCTTGGAATGCGCTCATCAGAACCTCTCTCTCTCCCCCCACCCGCACCCCCGAAGAGGTGACCACAGAAGAAAAGCAGGTTGAAGACAAATCTGGATGCTAGAGGAGTTTGGGATGATGTTGAGGCACCCAAGCAGCCCGCCAAGGCTAATGGCCACTCAGGCGGTTACCATGGCAACCACCACAGCAGGCTCCCCCTGCTCCCATCGCAGTCTTGTAAAGCTTGTAAAGTGGAGGGCAAACCTTACCCTGAGTGAGCCTGGTGGGCTGCCGGATGGGGAGCCCGTCAATACTGCAGGCATTGCCACAAGGGTAGAGGGTGAGGGTGCCCCGCACGTTCTCGATGTAGCAGTGCTCCGGAGCCAAGCCTGGGCCCTGCAGGGAGATGTCCCTGGCTGCCGAGCCAATCACCGTCTTCCCTGAAGACAGAGAGCAAACTGAGTCCGAGGTTGAGGAGGCAGGGCCAGGGCCAGGGGGGTGGCAAAGGGAATGTAATTCCACCTCCTACTTTGCGGAGGATCCTGCCTGCCTACCACTGGCCGCCCCTTTGGGCCCCAGAGGCTGGTGGAGATGGTCAGCGATAGAAGCTCTGGGCAGGCAGCGAACACTCTGGCTCACAGATGGGAGGACTCAGGGGGCACAGAGCACCCAGCCTCCACCGACGGGAGGAAAGTTCTTGTCCCAGACCTCCCTTCAATCCTTCCAACTCCTCGTCCCCAAGTCCTCCATCATGTTCCCTCTCTCTGCTCCTCCGAACCTGCCATCTCTCCTTCTTCTCGCCCCCCCCCCCAGCTTCTCACCTGCAGCCTCTGCCCTCCCTCACCCCGTCTCCTCTGTCTCCTCTCCGCTGCCTCGCCCCACCGGCTGCAGCTTGCACAGCTCCCCCTGGCAGCGCCCCCGGGACTGGTATTTGGAGAATGTGGAGAATGTAGAATCACCCAGGCAACAAGTGCAGCCAGGAGAGAAGAGAGCGGGCAGAAGCTGTGCGGGGAAGGGGGGCTGTGGCAGGACCTTATCTTGGGAGTTCTGCGCTTCCTCCCACTGCTGCCTTGTCCACAGGTACCTGGTCCCATGCCAGGCATCACCCTGGAAGGGGGCCCCTTTCTTCTCAGCCACACCAGTTGCTAAGAGCAATGTGCTCTCCTGTTTCAGTGCTCTCTTCCTCACCTCTAAACTGATCTTTAATCCCAGTCATGGAGCCAGATTATCTACCAAAGACAGCAGGCAGTCCAGGGGGGACAAGGGAAGCAAGCTGGTGGAATCTGGGGACCCGCAATTTGGGGGAGGCAAATGTTGCAGACAAATGGCAGGAGGGAGCAGCCTGGGTGGCTCAGCGGTTTAGCGCTGCCTTCAGCCCGGGGCATGATCCTGGAGACCCTGGATCGAGTCCCACGTCAGGCTCCCTGCGTGGAGCCTGCTTCTCCCTCTACCTGTGTCTCTGCCTCTCTCTCTCTCTCTCTCTCTCTCATGGATAAATAAATTTTTTAAAAAATAAAATGAAATGAATCAAAAGTGTGATCATTTCAATAAAAAAATAAATAAATAAATGGCAGGAGGGCCCCAACACACGCCTGGAAGCCAGGGCAGGAATGCCTGTAAGGATGGAGGGGTGGCAGGTGGGCCGCGCCTCCAGACTCACCTTCCTCCAGAGGCAGAAGGGTGATAGCCGTGCTCAGCCGCCCGCTGCCCAGGCTCACCAGATGGGGTTTGTCCGTTTGCACCTTCAGCCCTTTGCCTGTCTCGATCAGGTCCAAGGGCCCTTTCTGCAGGAAGTGGAGGTGGGGGATGAGCATCATCAAAGACTTTAGGCCCAAACCTGAGCACCCGAGTCCCAATAACACCGACACTCTCTCCAGCACTTGCCCTCTCTGAGGGCTCTGGGAGTGTGGAAAGGCTTTAGCACAAAATCTTTCATGGGGCATTATTACACTAAATTGTAATGAGATCTGAATCTAGGCCACTAACTCGTCCCACTGGATTTATCTCGAGTCTTGGCTTAACTGCCCCCTTTGTCTATTAAGACAGAAAGTAAGGAGAGTAGGCGGGTGCTGGGTAGAAGGAGTTGCTGCACAGAAGGGCCAATGCAGACTCCTCCCTGTGGACTGTCCATGGCCATCCACTTGGCCACTTCTTGCCTCTGTGAGACTTAGTCCCAGGGCATGGATCTAGGAGGGGGACACAGCCCAGGGTCAATCTATAAACCGCTTCCTGACTTCCAAAGGGTATATTCTGGGTGAACCAATTAACCTGATTCAGATAAAGACTTAGCCTTAATAGGCTTGGGGCTGGGGGAAGGGCCGAGAGGAGCTGCTTGCTGCTGTCATCCCTGGGCTAGGACCACAGGTGGGTGGAGGAGCCAAACCCACCCTCTCCAACAAGCCCGCTTGCCCCTTGGCCTTGACCCCACTCACCTTTACCATTGCTTGGGTCTTGCATCCAGGGCCTACCTGGTTCCTATTAAGAGCATCCATGGTCCTGGGGCTCCAGAGCTCCTGGGGACAGAGCAGAAGGCGGGTGTCAGTGGGGACGCCAGGGGAGGAGAGGGAAAGGAGGTTCTCAGGGTGAAGGGATGGAGGACAGTGCCAGGCACCCTCATTCCCAGCACTCTCTTGAGGAAAGAGTGAGGCAACTCAGGAGCTTCTCCGGGGAAGGCAGCACCACATCTCCAGCCTTGCACAGACACTCAGCACACCAGTCCTGACTCTTGCCACCATAAACACATAGAGGCCTAGAGGCCTGGCCTGTATGTCTATGCTTTCTTGCCTCTGACACCCAGGAGCCAGGCCTTGGCAGCAGAGGACCCTCAAATACCTGGAGCCAGAGGTAGGGTGCAGAAAATCCACCTCAGTGAGGGAAGCCAGGTCCAAGGAACTCCCCCAGGGACACAGGCAGCCAGAGGCTCACCCAGGTAAGTGGCAGGGCTGAGTAGGTCTCTTTCCGGGCACCTTCCCACACCTTCCCCTCAGCTCCTCTCCTTTTGTCTCTTTTCCCCAGGGGTCAGAACAGGGTGTCTGCTTAAAGAGACACAACAGGAAAAACTCAACAATTCTAGCCTTCTATAGTTTCAACTCCTACACCCTCTCTTCCCTGGAAAGCCACCTCACCCCAGACAATCAACAACCAAAAAAAAAAAAAAAAAAAACCCTCAGTGGTGACTAAGAGAAGGAATACAGTTTTCTAGGGTTCTTAATCTCATCTGGTGTTGTAGGAAGCTTAGGACTTTATTTATTATTTTTTTTAGGACTTTATTTTTTAAAGATTTTATTTATTTGAGATAGAGATGGAGACAAAGAGAGCACGTGCACATGGGGGGGGGTGCAGGGAGAGAGGGAAAAGTAGACTCCCCGTTGAGCAGAAAGCCCCATGTGATGAAGGACTGGATCCCAGGACCTTGAGATCATGACCTGAGCTGAAGGCAGACATTTAACCAACTGAGCCACCCAGGCGCCCCCTTAGGTCTTTAGAACGAAGGATAAAGTAGATTCCAGAGCCAGAACTTGAACTCTCCCTACCCGTCCCTTTCTCCCTGGCTCACAGTTTTGGGGACCTGAGAAATGTGAGGGACCTCTGGGCACTAAGGTGTGCCTGCATGCCCATCCCTTGATCATCTTGCTAAGGTAGTATGCTTCCCTTTTGCTGCAAAATTGGGGCTGGGGACAGCCAAGAGAGTGTGGCTGGTCTCAGGAGGGAGACCCAGGAAGGCAGGGCTTCCCTCCACTTTCTCTGCCAGGCATCCACCAGGACCGGTGACTTGGGAGAGGAAGTGGGGGCAGGAGCCAGCATTCCAAGGAGCGTCTGACCCTGGCAGTAGGGCCCAAAGGCCTGAGCCATTGAGTTACTAATTTTACTCTCCCAGCTTCCACCCTTTCCGGACCTGGACGGCATCATGTCCGTCACTGTGTCCACCCAAGCTGGCGGAAGAGAAACCGGAATAGGGCCTGGGGCCCACCCCAACTTGGCCTGGGAAGAGGGAAGGCAGAGGCCATTAACCTACACCAAGCTCCAAGCTGGCCTGGCATCTCCCCAGGAGATCTGGCCATGGGGAAGAATTTCCAGGGTCAGAGAGCCTGCTACACTGTTTCCTTCCACTCAGGGAAATCCCTCAGCATTCTCTGAGGGAAGAGAGGTGCCACAGCAGGTCAGGAATGGGGAGCTTACATCAAACGGGAGTAAGAAAATAAAACAATAAATAACGGTGCAGGAATGGCAGGATCATTGTTTAGTGGAAAGACCTTCAGACCGGGATGCAAGAGCCCTAAATTCTAACCCTAACTTTATTACGTATTAGCTGCGAGATCTTGGACAAGTTACTTAAATTCTCTGAGTGTCAGGTCATTCTCTATAAAAGTGGAATAATTAATGATTTTTTTTTTCACAAAAGATTGGATCACTGCTTGCCTGTGGCTAAGGGTAGGATGGGGAGTGACTATAAATGGGCACAAGATTTCTTTCTGGCCTGATGGACTTGTTCTAAAACAAAACTGTGATGATGGTGGCACAGCTCTGTAAATATATTCTAAAAATCATTGACCTTACACTTCAATTAAGTGAATCAGATGATACATGCATTATACCTCAATAACACTTTTTTAAAAAAGAGATTGGAGATTCAGGTATTATGTTAAATGACACTCTGTGAAGTGCAAAGCACCATAAACATGCCAGGTGTTAGTATGGGCTTTAAGATCTAGTAGGGATGCCCGGGTGGCTCAGTGGTTGAGCGTCTGCTTTTGGCTCGGGTCATGATCCCGGGGTCCTGGGAGCCTGCAGGAAGGTGCCGGGTTCCTGCAGGGAGCCTGCTTCTCCCTCTGCCTGTGTCTCTTGCCTCTCTGTCTCATGAATAAATAAATAAAATCTTAACAGAAAAAATAAAGATCTAGAACAAGTAAGTCACTTCACCTTTATCTGTCAAATTTGTCACTATCACCCAGTGAGGCAGTTTTGGGTGTGTTCATTAATTTACACCAAAGAGGGACACCTTGGTGGCTCAGTGGTTGACCATTTGCCTTCTGCTCAGGTCATGATCCTGGTGTCCTGGGATGGAGTCCCACATCGGGCTCCCCACCCTGGAGCCTGCTTCTCCCTCTGCCTATGTCTCTGTGTCTGTCTCTCAGGAAGGAAGGAAGAATGAAGGAAGAAATGAATGAATCTATTTACACCAAAGAATTTCAAGTGGAGATAGACTGTAAAGGAATAAGATCGATGGGGAACAAGCGATGAGAGGAGAGAGGGAAATAATAAAGTGACAAGAGAGTGAGAGATAAGGAGAGGCGCAGGGAGAGACAGAGAAGATAAGATGTAGACATGTATGGCCCCAGCTCAGAAACTCAAGCCAGGTGAAGTGGAAAGATACCCTGGACCAGCGGGCAGCTCCCGGGCGCGCCCTGACAAAGGGTCTCCGCCGCGGCCACCTGGGGGCGCCCTCTCCCCGGACCCCACCCGAGCCCCCGGGCCCAGCGGCGCTGCGCGGGAGCGCCCCACCGCCAACCCACTTCCGCGGACAGGGCTGCCCACGGCCCCGGCGGTAATTACCCACTCCGAGCGCCCCGCCCGGTCCCGCTGCCAAAAAAAGGCCCCTGCGGCGCGAGGCCGGCTCCGGGGAGGAGGGACGGCAGGGAGGCGCCGCGGTCCCCCGGGCTCTCCGTGGCCGTCCCGCACCTCCCGGGGCGCAGGGGGCAGGGGCCTGGGAGCCGCCGCGCCCCGGAGGACCCCGCCACGGGTGACCTCGCTTGGGCCCGGCCCTCCGGCCTCCTCGCCCTGCGGGGTCGGCCGGCGCCCAGCCCTCTCCGCCGAGTGGGTGCCCGTCGCCGCTCGGGAGTCTCGGCACCCGAATCAGGGTGAAGGGAGGCCCGAGAAGGTCTGCAGCCAACAGGCACTGCCGGGAGTCCAGGCTCCAAACCGGGGCCTCCCGGCGTCCCGCTCCGGCGCTCCCCCGCCTCACCTGTGGCCCAGGGCGCCAGCCGAGGCCTCGCCCCGGGCGTCGCATGACCGCGCCCCGAGGCCGCGGGCCGAGCCGGGACCCTCTCCGCCCGCCTTCGCCTTCGCCTTCGCCTTCGCCCTCGCCCTCCCGACGCACATCCGCCCTCGAGGAAGGAGTCGGGACGGGAAGGAAACTGAGGCCGGGAGCGCGGAGGGCGGAGGGCGGGGACGGGGACGGGGACGGGGACGGGGAGGGGTGTGGACAGGCCGGGGCGGAGAGAACTTGACAAGGGGGGTGAACAGGGGTCTGCGTCAGGGAGACGCAGGGATGGGGGCTGGATGAAAGACGGAGACAGGGTTGAGGGAAGATGAGAGGTGGGGGGATGCACGGGGGGGTAAGAAGATGGGGAGACAGCCCGGGGCACGCAGAGCTGGGGGGCGGGGGCGGGGGACGGAGGGACAGCTCAGTGGGTGGCCTGGGGGACTAAGGAGAAGGGGCGCCCGAGGACGGAGAGGCCGTCGAGGGAAGGGCACGACGGCCAGGGGGAGCCCTAGACGGCACAGAGGGCGGGGGTGGGGGCAGCCGCGGGGCGGGAAGCCAGGGAGGGAGACTGAGGCAGGCCGGGGCCCAGAAGTTGGGGCGCGACCGCAGGCCAAAGAGCAGGGGCGCTGAGCGGAGGCTGGAGGCAGGGAGAGGCGGGGGGGGGGGGGGGCTGCCGCCAGGGCGCGGCTCATCGCTGGCCCGGGGCCCGTGCTGCCCGGGGCCGCCAGGTGGGACAAGGCCGCAGTGTTGGGCCGCCCCGCCCGCCGCGGACGCCGGACAAGCGGCCTTTCTTCGGCCGGGCAGGGAGAAGGAGCCGCTTGTCTGCGCGGCCGGGGGAAGGGGCGGCCGCCCCGACGCCGCGCGCTCCCCGCGGGGCAGCGGCCTGCAGGGGCTGAGCGCGCACGGGGGTGCGGGTGTGAGCGGCCGGCGGGCGTGCGGGCGGGCGGGCGCCGCGGGGGCGCCGGGGGTCGGGGGTGCCCCGTGCGCGGTGCGCGCCCCAGGTCGCGGCGAAGGCGGCCGCACGTGCGCCGGCGGGCGGGGGAGGCGGGGGAGGCGGGGGAGGCGGGGCGGGCGCGGTGCGCGTCCGCCGCGTGGGATGCCCGGGTGGGTGGGGGGAGCCTGTGTTTGTGCGCGAGCCGCCCGATGAGTCAGCCCGGGAGCCTCCGGACGGCTGAGCTAACGGGCCCAGAATGCGGCCCCGCCCCGGCTCCCCGGGTCCCCCGCCGGGCCGCGCGCCCCCCGGGCCCCGCCGCCCGCACTTCCCCATCCCGGAGGAACCCGGATGACGGGCTCAGCCCCCGCCTCGGGGAACTCCGCTAGGGATTCGGATCCCAACCCCGCGGGCGTGGCGGGAGCCTGGAGTCCCTCCCCCTGAGCGCGCCCCCTCCGGCCTCCCGGACCCCTGAAGATGCGGGGCCTCGGAGGAGGGCTCGGGACGCCCGGGACGCGCCTCCCATCCCCGAGCACGCCCGAGGGTCGCTCCCGGACCCGCACACGCTCCTCGTCCGCAGGGCGGCCCGGCCCGGGCGCCGACGCGAGCGGAGATGGCGCAGGGGCGCCCCTCCCCGGCGCTGGCGCTCGGCTCTCCGTCCTGCCGGCGGCCGGAGGGTGGGAGGTGTGCGGCCAGGGCCGGCCGTCGGGGTGCCCGCGGGGGAGTCGAGCCGGGGTGGAGCGCGAGGGCCCCCTCTGGCGGCTGCGCGGACCGAGGCTCGGGAGGGCAAAGCCAGCCGCGGGCGGCGAGGCGGCGGAGCCGGCTCCCCACAAAGCCCTTTCGGCTGCCGCCCCCCGCCACCCATCGGGGCGCCCCCTCCTCCTCCAGGCTGCCTCGGGGCTCCCTGCCCAGAGCTGATCTGAGGGCTCCCGCCAGGCCCTGGGACTTCCCCTTATCCAGCCCCAGCTGCGCAAATGGCGAGACCCGCGGGCCAAGGGGGAAGCGCGTCCTTACCTCGCGGGGGCAGAGGGGGGACACCGGTCCCTTCGCCGGCTCGGCCGCCGGGGCCTCAGGCTCTGGAGGACACTGTTGCTTTTTCCCTGGGAGCCCGCGGAGTGGGAGGAGAGCGAGCAGGTCCCGCCCCCCAGTCCCCGCCCCCGTCCCCGTCCCGTCAGGCCAGCCAGAGAAGACGCCCTTGTGGAGCTGGAGCCCAAGGTCCCCCCACCCACCCTTTCCCATAGCAGCACCTCCCCCCACACCCCCTCCAGCACAGCGCCCGCTTTGTTCCTCTCTGCAGCTGGGCCCTCCGCTACCGTCAACACACACACACACACACACACACACACACACACCCTCCTCCCTCCTCTCCTCCCCTTCGGACTCCCCTGCGGACTCCCCTCGACCACCTCCACCCCTAGGCCTTAAGGCTCTTCCGAAAGGGTGTCCTTGACAATTTCTCACTCTCTCGCCCCCCACCCGCCCACTTCTTTTTAAGCCTGAGTCCCCCGTGGCTCCCAGTGAACCTCCTGTCCGCAGCTCTCCAGCATACTCTCAAGATCTCCAGAAAATACCTGCTGAGGGTACCCAGGTTTACCCCGTCACCCCTTCTCCTCACCCCATTCCAAGCCCGACGTGAAGAGCTGTAAGTGGGGTTGGTAATCCTGCACATCAGGCTTCACAGATGTTTTTCTAAGTATAGTATAGGTATAAGACATGTTAAAGCACCATGCAAAGTGTAAAGCACAGAAACGTGAATTGAATCACTATCCTGCCCCCGTCCATGTAGCTCCCCCCTGCCACCACCTGCTGACTTACATACAACTGGGGGGGCAAGCTATAGGCAGACGATTTAGCACACTGTCCTTTAGCAGTCAGTGAGGGCCTCTGTAGGAGTAGAGGGTTAATAAGGGAGAAAAGGAAAGACTAAAAAACCTAAGAGGAGTCTAGAAGCTCCTCTGGTTGAAGCCCTTGGTCATCTCAACCCCCACCCTGAAATCCAACGCGAGACAGTGGATCCTTACCTTGCAAAGCCAGCTCTTGCCCCCGGAGACTGACTGGAGAGGCCCTAGGGAATGGACCTCAGGAGACTGGACCTCTTTAACCTGCCCTAGAAGGATCCTCTGAGACTCCTCCTCGCTGAATGAGGGAGCAGAAGGCCCCCACGCCTTCCAGCTGGGGCAGATAGCAGAAGATAATTTGCCCTCTCTGGGATGAACATATGTTGTTCTGATTCAGCGGCTTTAGTTTGTGCCCTCTCTCCCTAACCCGGGAACAGCAGGAGGCTGAACTGCAGGAATCTTTGGTCACTTATTGACAGGGCCAGCATTAGCAGCGGCCCCCCAGGGCGGGAGGCTGGGGCTGACTGGAGCCAGGCAGTGGACGGGAGGGGGATGGGGAAAGACACTTTGCAGTTAGCAGCTGTGGCTCACAGAGGTCACAAGCAAGGCTCCACTCCAGCCTGCATGGTGGGTACCAAGAAGCCTCAGGATTTGGGGGATGGGGAGGAAGCCTCTTATTCTCCTTCTCTTCATACTGTTTGAGGCTCACGAAAGTATTTTGACTCCGGCCACCTTTTCATGAGGCAGATCACAACAGCAATTTTCGGACTATTCTGGTAAAAGAAAAAGCCAAAACTATTGTATCCTGTGTGCCAAGACCCAGCACTTGAGGGATGGGGCTCTGATTGGGGTACCTCGGAGTCTCTTCACAGAACTGCTTCACAACTCCCAGATCTTCTTTACCATCTCGGTCAGGAGGAATTTCAGGGAATGATGGAGCCTACCACCAGGCAGATGATGCTGAGGCAGGGGGTTGAAACAGCACCCAACTTCTGTCCTCCCACCCAGGGACCAGCTGACCCCATGATAAAGGCTCTGTGCAACATGTCCTCATCCTGCTGGGTTGAGGCTCTATGTTCCCACAGTTAGAGCACTCAGGGGACTACAGACCTACCACCCCCACCCTCCACCCCCACCCGCCGCACATCTGGAGCCCATCAAAAAACTCAGTGCTCTCTCACAATTACGCAAGAGGTCGAGCAGCTGGGAGCTCAGGAAAGGGGGAGGAAGAGAGAAGAAAGCAGAAAACAGTTTTCCAAGCATGCTTCAGACTTTCCGAAGTGGAAGCAGGGGGAGAGGGCAAAGGCTGGGTGTGGAAGGAAGAGTGGATTTTTGAAGGCCTTCTGCACTTGGCTATGAGTGTCAGGAGTCTATTTCCACGTCCCTCCTGCCTTAGCCTAGGCACATTTCCCACTTCTGTCCCTCCTCTCCAACCGTGCCCCCTCCAGCCCCAGAAGGAGGCGATTATTGCTCAGTACAGCAAGCGACCCCTGTAGCTTCACACCTTCTAAAGCTATCCTTTCTGGCCCCTCTGGATCCTGAACTCAGGCATCATTAGTGTAGGTGTCGTGGCAGCAATGATGCCAAGTAACTCCTCACTACATCCAACTTGGGAAAAAGTTCAAACCTTTCTTCAGCAGGAGCTCTCTCCTCAGCTTCTAGAAATTGCACAATCCAGGCTTAGACCCAAAGCTGAGACACAGAAGCTGAGTGGGCATTTTGGGTAGGGCAGGGGAGGGGCGGGGGAGGGAGAAGGGGGGGAAGACTGATCTCATCTACCTCCATGGCTCAGGACCTTCCTACGAGCTGATCAGAACAAGCACTGATTTGGGCAAATAATGGGAAACAAGACCTAGATCCACTTCCCTAATTGCCTTGAAATTGTTAATGCCTCTTTTTCACCTAGCCCCTTTGGTTACCAACCTGATCACACAGGGTATGCTTATGGGAGCTTTTGAGAATTGGACTAAGCCCTAAAGAACCATTTAGCCCCTGCCCTGTGAACAGCAAGGCCAAAACCCTGTCTATGGCGGGTGGGGGAGTGGGAGGGGGGATCACTCCCCAGTGATCCAAGCTTGTGAAAACTGCCCAGTTGCTTGACCTCTTGTGTTGGTAGTATTGTCTTCCTAAAGGTTTGCCTCCATGTAAACCCCTAACCCCAGAGGGTAAGACATGAGACCGACACTTGTAGAGATGCTTCCTAACCCTGGGTAAGAGCAATGAACGGCAACCAATTACTTGTGGAGCCTCTAAGAGTTTCAAAGCTCTATAGCTGCAAATAGATTTACCAAAGGAGGAAGAGGGAATAGAGGGAGAATGGGTGCCCTGAGATGTGCATAGTAGAGGAGAGTGGAGTTTTTGCTTTTGAGAGACTCCTCTGAAGCCTACAAGACAGACACCTCTGCTATCATCAGCTGTAGAAAACACTTGTCTACTTTAGGAAAAAAGTCTAAGTAGGTACAGCCAATTGCTTCTGGTTAGACTTTAATCTTTTATTTATTTATTCATAAGAGACACAGAGAGAGGCAGAGACCTAGGTAGAGAGAGAAGCACGCTCCCCATGAGGAGCCTGATGTGTAATTCGATCCCAAGACCCCAGGACCACGACCTAAGGCAAAAGCAGACGCTCAACCACTGAGCCGCCCAGGTGCCCCTAGACTTTAATCTTGAGGATGGGGGCTTTTTCTATTTTCCTCTTCTTCCAATGGGCCCGGCCCGACCAGATGTGAACTGTTTTAAAAAGCTACTCTATATCAACTCTGGAAATCGCTCAGTTGCTACTCAGTGTGAACAACTTCACATTAAGGGCAAAGCTTCCTGTGTCAGAGATGCACGGGTTGATAGATCTGGGGGTTTGGAACTACTGGGAGTAGATGAGTAACAGATCTTTTTAAAAGGGAATTCCTGACCACAAGGTATGTTCCCTACCTCCTCTGTGTGGAATTAATTCAAAGCAGGAACCACAAACCTCCTACATTCAACAGAATGCTCAGTCAGAGCTAATTATTTTGTTAGTCTCCCTCACAAGAGACCAACAAAAAGTCCACTTGATGCCGTGGAGGGATTAGCTGCCAGTCGGGGTGTGGCATGGTTCTGGTGTGCTTCACTGGATTAAGGTTACAGTCTCAGAGAGCCAAGCCACACTTCAGCAACACAGACCAGATACTTTGTATTTCTCTTAAGGAAAAAAAAAATTCAAAGTCTTGGCTTTCCCCATGAAGATAAAACTTTATCATTCTCAGACACTTACTATTCATTACAGAGAGTAATTTGTCTTCCAAAGAATTTGTTGACATTCAATAGTTTAAGTTAAATAAAAAGAAAGTAAGGATGGAGTCTTTGCTGAGGAGACTATCAAAACTCCGCAAGCATCCATCCCTCACCCCAGGATCATTTACTTACCACTGTTGTTCTAATGGGGAAGAGAATGCTCTGAAATCTCACCAATCATTGTTATTCTTTACAGATGAAGCCTCATATTTCTGATTCTACAATTGCCCTGACAAAATTAAGACCAAAAGTCTGGGGATGCCTGGGTGGCTCAGTGGTTAAAGGGTCTGCCTTTGGCTCAGGACATGATCCTCGAGTCCCGGGATTGAGTCCCACACTGGGCTCCCTACACAGAGCCTGCTTCTCCCTCTGCCTATGTCTCTGCCTCTTTCTCTGTGTCTCATGAATTAAAAAAATAAATAAATAAAAAATAAAAGTCTAGAAGTAGCATCAAATTCAAAAAGTACCAGTGTCTGGAGTGCATGTGTACATGTGCATGCTCAAACAAGAATACACAAGGAGGGAAAGGCAATGAATACTCCCAGAGATTATTTTCTCTTAAAAAAAAACATATCATTAATTTTTAAACTTAGATCCTGTTACATCATCTTGAAACAGCAGATACCAAAGTATGAGAGTCAAGAGTCTAATAAACATTCATTTTATAATACTCTTTATTTGATTAAAGAATTTTCCTTCTTTGTGTACACTGGAATGTTATATTCCCTATGTATTTTACAGGGTTACAAAATGTCTCTCATTTTAAATATTACCCCAAAAGTAATTTCAGAAAAAAAAAAAAAAGTTGTGAAACTAAACAACTTTAAAAAAAATCATATGGACAAGCAACTTTCAAACAAAATTGGATTAATAAGATTTCTTGCCTACTTAACTACATGACAGATTTCTTATCCCAGTCCCCTTCCTCAAAAAAACCTTATGTGGAAACCAAGCCAGAGATAAGGATTCTTCCCTGATGCAGTTAAGGGAAAGGGAAAGGCCAGAAATTTCTTTGGCAAACAATTCCGCCCACGGCCACCTGTGTGACTGCTCTGCTTTGAGGACAGTACACTGCAGGGGAGGCCTGATGTTGTCCCAAGTGGGAGTGGTACTCTCCAGCCAGCTGGAAGTGCAGCAGGTCACCTAGCCATCTGCCTCTCCCCCAACCCCAGCCTGGTGCTGTGGCCTAGCAGCAGCCCCAGCAACCCTACCAAGTGCAATACTGGATCAGAAAGCCGATGCTGGGCTGGCTGGTGTAGCTTTCTCCGTTGCACAAGTCATGGATGAGATGGGGCACAAGGACACCCAACAAAAAAGGCTTGAGGGCCGGAAAGGAAGGACTTCAAAGACCGAGAAAGAGGAAAGGACTGAGAACACAGAGAAGAGTCAGGAAGGAGATGGTAAATTCAAGGACATGTGAATGGATGACAAAGACCATGAACTCTTATGTATTAGCTGAAATACCCAAAGTGTAAAGAAACAGAAATGTGGGCAGCACCAGCAGCAGACAGGATTACTGGTGGATGTGAAAGCCCTCACTAGACATTACCATTCGCCTCTCAGGCATCTTGCAAGTGGAGGCTGTGCCATCTGAAAGCTGCTTCTCAGCGGTCTTTATTAGTGGCACGAGTGGGATTCACAGTACTGTTCTACACTGGAGGGACATGACTGGAAGGAAACAATGTGAAAAGGAATGGAGGAATGAGTGGACATAGGACAAGGACAAAGCACATCCTTATTTGTTCACTTCCTAGACCTCAACCCACTGAAGCAGTTCACCTGTATAGTCCAAAGATCGAGGATGGATTAGATCAACCAGTTCCCAGGAGTGCCAAACACACTATCTATATACGGATGATCCCAGTGCTTGACTGAAGGTATAGAGAAAGAGAAAAACTGAAGGTAAAGGAAAGAAGTATGAAAGATTAAAATTTGCAGAGGAAAAAATTTAAAAACTAGTATGAAATGTAACTATGTTCAGGGATTAAAACAAAGGAGCAATAACAAGACGAAGGTAGAGAAATTATTTAACTGGGGGGGGGGGGTGGTTCTGGAGAGCCTGCTTTCCTGCTGGCCAGTAAAATGTGCCAAAGAAATCAGCAGCCTTTCCCTTTATGTTTGTGTCTTTCTTTGCCAAA